GATGGTTTACAATGGAAAATCCCAATCTCCATTTTAGGAAACCTCCATGTGAGGTATAGGTAGGGTGATTGTTCAATTTTTTGAGGCGAAGTCGCCTACTAATTGGGGTGAAGCGCAGAAACGTTACCCGAAGACCAATTTCATATCCTATAGGCTCAAGTGAATCGGTCCCATCGTCAGCTCGATTCCAAGGCCAAAGATAAGATCGCCAATCAGCAGATGGCCGCTGCCATGGGTGGCGAAAAATGGTTTGTGTCGTCTGAAAAGCTGTGAGAAACGCTGACCGCGGAGCGGGAGCGGCGAGTGGGTCATGGAAGCCACGGACGTTTGATGTTTGGTTTTGAAGTACTAGAATATAGAACATCAAAAAACAAACACCAAGCATCTCATAAGATCCACTTTCAACCGGGATTTAGGGGAAATCATCTGAAGTCATCTTAAGTCACGGATAAGATCTACAAATTGTTTTAAATTGGGACTTCCCGAATATATCAATGGACTTGGGCAATTGGTGTTCCTTTTTAAGGAGATCATTTCTGGCATCCCCATGGTGCCCTAAATCACTGCCCTCGCCAGAGATACTTCGGGATATTCCACCAGTTTGCCTGGGTCATTTCATGTCAAATTTCATAAATATGCTACAAGGTGGTGCCCCCCAGCAATGTTTGTTGGTTTATAAACCCCATTAACTATAGAAGTTATAAACCATAGTTATAGAAGTTATTGGCACCAACTTAGCTAAGGAACTGGGGCACCACAGTCAGTAGAGTTCCTAGTTACATGGCCATGTAACGGCCGCGCAGGTCAAAGAGCCTTGCGCTGATGCAGAAAGTGCAAGGGATGAATTTCCAGGTGCCGGAGATGCGAAAGTGACCTGTTGGTTAAGAAACAATGGAAACTCATGAAATGTATGGGAAATATATGGGACATGTATGAAGTAGATGGGACATAAATGTGGGACATATCTAGGAAATATGAGAGAACTCAAGGAAGGTATGTGGGAATATCATGGAAAGCAAACCATGGAAATCCCGGATAAATCAGGAGATATGGAAAACACATCGAACTGAGTGGAAATTGGGATTTCCCTATGTCAATGGTCGTGTTTGTTGGTTTCCGTTCATTCCATTAGTTCGATATATCGACCCTAGTGACCCTAGTGGATGAGGTCAAGGTGCAGGTGCAAAGCATTACTGGGATGTCCATATGCCGCTAGGATCACTGAACATGTTGCCCTGTTTGTGATTGGAGCCACTGACTCTCCGAGAAGAGACATTTTGACACATCCATGTCCTGGGTCCATTTATCCCATGTTCAAGGCGCAGAAACAAGATGTCTCAGCAATACGGCAAACCCTAAGTTTTTTTTTCGTTTGATGTTGCGTCGCTTATTGCAATACAGCTATTGTCAAAATACCAATTTTTTTAGTCAGATATAACATGATATAATTTGATTTATGGTCAGTAAGTCATCAAACAAAAACTTGGTTTCTAGGGTTCTAGGGCTCTAAAACCCCTCCCATTTTCCCAGGATTTCCTTTGCCTCAGGCCTTTGAGCTCTGCGACCCAAAGGATCAAAGCAGTGCAGAGGAGATGGGGCAATGATGGGAAGTTTCACACCAGAAAGCCATAGGAAAATAGTGAAAACCATTGGAACACTATAGGAAAATGGTGAAAACCATTGGAACACCATATAGGAAAATGGTGAAAACCATTGGAACACCATAGGAAAATGGTGAAAACCATTGGAACACCATAGGAAAATGGTGAAAACCATTGGAACACCATAGGAAAATGGTGAAAACCATTGGACAACCATAGGATGAACACCATGGAAAAACCATAGGAAAATTATCAAAACCATTGGAAAACAATAAGAACATATGAAAACCATAGGAAAACCATAGGAAAATTGTCAAAACCATTGGAAAGCAATAGAAAACATGTGAAATAGGAAAACCATAGGAAAATGGTGAAAACCATTGTAACCCATAGGAAAATGGTGGCTCAATGGTGAACAAAATGGTGATTTGAATGGCAACTCTGAGTCCAAGCTCGATGCCTCGTGGCTTCGATGCCAATTTGTTGTACAGAGTGATGGACTGCCCATGGTCTGTTACAGAGTTGGTTTGCCCATGAACTGGCTTAATTGCAATCTGCACTGGAAACGCAAGCGGTGGTGTGGACACAACGTTCGTGATGTTGAAGTAAATAAAGAAACACAAGAGAGGCCTGTGGGCCTGATCGTGCCCAGACTGAGCCGAGGCCAGGTGATGCAAAGGGAAATGCAACCGGCATGATTTGCGGTTGCTACCGTGAACTACGGTATGGTTTGCACCCGAACGTGGATCAAGGCCAATAAGGCCATGGCAGGTATCCACCTGCACCGCGAGTGGCCATTGGCTTGCCAAGGAGTTTCACGATGTTTCACCTGGGGACAGAGGGTAGAGAGAACTGCAGAAACCATCAGCCATTTGGAGTACATTTGAGTCCCGGCGTTTCAGCTGCCCCATGGCGCTATTCCTCCTCAAGCTTAGGTTTTTCTTCGATGGGGGATGAAAGAGTCCAATCCAATCGAAATACCCAGCACATCCCGGCACAAAGTCCTTTGTTGGTGAAATCACACATGATGCCCGTTCAATCACAACTTGTCTTTTCTTCGTTTTCTTGTTCAAATTGTCTTTTTGAAGGCTCCACTGTATGATTTTTCCAAGTACCAAGTACCCTTCTTTCGCCATAGGTTTGCGAAAAAAAACACGAATCATCCTTACTATTGGTCGGTCAAAAGAAATTTCAAGATCTTGAATGTCCAAGTTGGTTTATTTTACTACAAGGTGGGGCCGACTCGCTGGCTAAGTTGGTGTATAATTTTCTTAGCTAGGGCGTAAGTGGGATATAACTATATAATTAACTGCTAATGGGGGTTTATAAACCGACAAACATCATGTTCAAATATTGTATTCATGGGTTTGATGATAAACCAACAAACATAACCCGGGGCGCAAGTGGTATGATACCGTATGCCGTAATAAAATGGATGGTTTACTAGGTAGTAACAAATTTAACCCCCATGCTTGGTGAACCTAGGATGTAGTAAGAGTTTGACCTCTATCAGAGATAAACCTTGTAAAATCATTGATTTACTGCTATTCAAAATACCATTGATTGTATTGATTTTCACTTATATACCACTAATGTATCTCACCAATTGCCCTATGGTTTACACATGTTATGTCTATATATTTTATTTTGAAATGATCATATAATCATATATCATACAATGTGGAGCCCCCTTGTTCTAAATTGGTTTATACACCACATCAACTATAGATATAGATATAGGTATATATATATATCTACCATAAACCACAGTTATTGAAGTTATTGGCATCAACTGAACGCGCTTCCGAACTGGGAGACCACATCAAGTACCATACATTCTACCTTTCTAAACATGTCCCCGGTGAAGCCCTGGAATTTGCCCACAACGTCAACCACGACGTGAACCACGCCTTCCCCTTAGGAGCTGTTTGTCACCTTGAAACTTCGTGCTGAGCAGCTGCTACAGGAACTCTCCAAGTTACCCAGGACGGATGATCCAAGGATGATCCAGGGATCGAACTAACTTTATGTGTCCAATAAAAACGTTGGCAGTTAGTTAGTTCACAAAACATGGTTCATTAACATGTTCATTAAATGAGTTATAATGTTCATTACACAAAAGTTTCCAAAAAAAAAGTTCATACATGTTTATAACTCACACTATGGTTTATAATGGTGTATGGATGTTTATGGTAGAATATCGCACTGGTTGATAACGGTTCATGGGATTGATACCCTCCGGTGTCATCAAACGTGGCTGGAAAATCCCTTGCTACCTAAATGAGCATTGGCATGGGAGAAGCATCGGCGAAACAAATGGGGGATTTTCCAGCGAGTGCATGATAGGGTGCATGATAGCTACAAGGGAGCGAACTTATTCTCATGGCCGATATCATATTTTTGGATGATGGATCTCCATGGTTTTGTAAATGTGACCAAGAAAGCCTCTTGTTCTATTGTTAGTCCACCCATTGCTTCCCCCTCTAAGAGGCTTGTTGGTGTGGCTGCAGACAGATGTTTGGCCCGTATTTTGATGTATTTTGGGCATCCATCAGGATAGAGGCTTCACTTCATAGCCCTTGTTTTGGCAGTGTATAGATGTGTCAGTTTTTCACCCTTACCATTCAGTTCTTGGCATCAGTAGGTTTATGAATACTCCCTGACCAAGAAATGACACATGTGTGAATATGCATGTGTGAATAGTTACCTTTATTTCATGTCTATTGGTTATTTGATCCATTCAATGAATACTGGGAGATTAGCAATAATACAGGTCACTTTTTAGCGTGGTGTTTGGCAACCAATATTATTACAGTCATGGCAATAAAAATGTTTAAATGGGATCGGATGAGCTAACTCCTATAACTACTTGGTTAATTATATATATATATATCATTAATTAATCCCTGTTATAACTGTTAAGGGCCATAACTGCATGACATGTTCATTGTGGGGATACCAATGGATACCATTACTGTCAAAACAAACCTAAGTCGATCCTTGTTTCATCAAAATGATCATTCTATTCACCTAGCCTGAGGAATTGTCTCAACATGTCTCAACTTGGAAACGTCCCGCAGTTCAAAAGGCACTCTTATGATTTGGTCACCATGGGAAGTTTTTCGCCGAACGCCGCAAAGACCGCTGGCTGACATAAACACCAATGATTTGGGTCACATCTATCAGCCATTTCTGGCCGACAAAGAACAGTTGGGATTATCATTGGACCCAAGGCTGCTAGGAGAGTTGTAAAATCTACTGAGACATATTATATCAGCATGTTGTTCAGAATGCGATTAAGTAGATTCTGTCATCTTTTAATACCCACCGAAACCAAAAAAACAACAGCACATTGAGGACAAGACACTTTCACCGGATTTCATTCCTAATTCTCATCACGCTTCTCCACTTCTCCACTGCGACCTATCACCGCGAGGCGCAAGAACTGGCAGAAACCAAGAAACATTCGACCTTACATGTCCCACATTGTCCCACAGTTTATCGTCATTGAAAATTGCAAGCTTCAGTAGGAATATATTGGATTATCATGGGTTGATGGGAGATGTTCCATTGCCATACGCTTTGAATTTTTGTGTTTTGGGGGTTTCGGCCAGGGTTATTTTGATGGGTCATAAGTTGGGATATGGGACCCCACTGATTCTGGCCACATACCAACTCATTAAGTTTTATCAAGTGGAACTGCGCCCCGTTTTGAAGTTTCATATTACCTGGTTGGTGGTTTGGAACATTTTTGAATATTTTTGATTTTTCCAAATATTGGGAATCATCATCCCAACTGACGAATATTTTCAGAGGGGTTGAAACCACCAACCAGTCACCTTCCGAGGAATATGGGTCCCAGCTGAGATCATCGAACTTGTAGCAGGGAATCCACGAACCACCAAGCATCACGTGTTGTTTTCTGGAAATTCAGCAATAAAATGATGGGGTTCTCAAAATGGGGAATCCCCAAGTAACATGATCTAAATTGGATGATTTTGGGGGTAGCCCCATGACTTTGGAAATCTCCAAGTTGGTCTTACATGGTCTTAAAAGGTCTTTCTGTATGGTGCTTTCAGACCATATTTGGACGATCATGACGAGCCAGTTTTCTTCAGGCCACCGCAAGCCGATGGTGCTGTTTTTCCCCAATGTAGAGTAATCTCCAAGAAAAGATAGAAGCGTGAAATCCAACGCAAAAGAATGGTGATGAATCACTGTTCCATCTTTTTGGATCTTACTCTAGAAAAATCATGAGCATCCCACATTTACTGTAGGAAAAGGATGTTTATCTTTCTGGATGTTACTATAGACAAATCCTGAGTATCCCACATTTACTGTACGAAAATGCATTGTTGTATCATGTTGTATCCCACAGCTTGGGACCGCAGGTGATGACGCATGGTGAGCCTGACTCTACGCAGGTTTCGGCTCGTGGGTCCGTGAAAGTCTCAAGCTGTGGAATGCAGCGAAAACATTGGAATTTAAGCATTGAATCAATGGGAGTTGAAAATTGAAAAAGTACTGTATACACTATTTTAATCTATTTCATATGAATGTTGGTAAGCTTAGTAAGATTCAGCTAGATGTGCAACATGTTTTTTTTCGTTGGGACAGAATATCAAAAAATGTGAACAACAACTTGTAACTGTGGGCGCCAGGTTGTACGTCTTTGTACGTCCTTGGCCAAGATGCAAAATGCTTGGCCGAAGTGTGTTATGATGAAGTAATGCGCGACTTCAATGATCTTGTGATTCTTGGGTTCATTTATAGTATGTTGGTGTGTGTCGTATGTGCCATAGTCAAAAGCTTGGATGAAAAATACTCGTTGGTGGTTTGGAACATTTTTTATTTTCCATAATATATGGGATAATCCTTCCCATTGACTTTCGTATTTTTCAAGATGATTAGAACCACCAACCAGAAAAGTTTTTCATGAAAAATACATTTTTTTGGGGGTGGTCATCAATCCATAGGGATATATCCATTCCGATGGGATCGCCATCACGCCATGAAAAATCCATAATGTAACTTGACCATGGCACATATAAGTTATATTCATCATCCCAATCGAAATCATCTCGCGGGGAGATCGTTTGATATGCTTACCAAATCCCAGAAAAAATGTTTTTCATTGGTTACAAATCCCTGTTGTATCCCATTCTATATACAGATCCTATTTTTGGCTGCTGTATGTCCACATGTTTTTAGTACATGCACTCCAAAAATGTTATTTCAGGCACATGTTTCGTCTTGGAAAAAACATCGTTCAAGTTGCGCCCATTTCAAGAGCATCTAATGCCATTCCCGTAATATGGAGTACACCATCGGAATTGCTGGCTTGGAAGTAGATCTGGTGTCTGCATCTGTTCGTCTACTGTTTTCATTTTGGGGAGCCTTCATTGAGCTATTCAACATCAGGTGTTTCATTTTTATAGAGTTTGTTAGTCTACCGTTATTTTGATTCTATATCCCATGATGTCAACATTGTATCCCATCATATTTTTATATATTCGCATTAAACTATACATCCAAAACATATCACCCAAAACAAATTGGAACATCAAAAAACTCCTACCAACCATAGTGTTCAAAATGCCTTTTCTGTCTCTTTTTTGGGGTAACATCCCCAGAAATTTTCGTGAAATCCCGGCGATCTCCAGGCAGGACCGGTACGGAAGGGCCAAATTCGCCTGGAGGGCCACTTTTGTGGAGCAGCTCGGCGGGCCACCCTGGATGGTTGCAAAATCCAAATCCCCAGTTGGTAGATGGGCAATTTTTTCTATCTCATTGTTTACAGTGTTGCATAGTTGCCAACCGTTACCATGCGATGCAGGATTTCGCAACCATCCACAGTATGTTGGGATTTGCCCCCTTCTTAATCCTGGAAGCGGTAGTTTGGAGGCATATGATCATATGTTAATAAACAATATCTGTTAATACGGTTGTGGCCGTGGCCCTTTACCAGTTAGCCAGAAAGAAGCCCCATTTATGGACTGATAACTAACCATTATATATCATTTATTATAACTGGTAGAGGACCTCAAGTGCAAGGTCCAATTTAGCGTTTCAGCTGGAATGGTTAGCAGCATGGAGGATGTCACCTGGGTTTTCAGCTGGCTTTAGCCAAATTCGTTCTCATGCCTTTTGATGGGACATGATGCAATCCCTAAAACATTCTGATCCCAACCTGGAATTCGGTACCCTCTGGTAAACTAACATAACTTTGGAAAATCATCCTTTATTATGGGAAAATAAATGGCAATGTTCAATAGCTTTTTGTATGTTTACCACAGGGTACATTCTATATATTTGCAAAGTTTGCAATATGCATGGGGCTACTTGGTGGTGATCTGTCCACTTAGATAACGGATCGTAGGTTACTTCACCCGGATGGGCAGGGTTAATCCACGGCCCATCCGGGTGAACTAAACTACTCACTTAAGTGACATGATCCACCAAGTGCATAATGGGTATATAACTGCAGTGGGTATAATTGCGATATCTGTATACATATAATTATATATATATATATATACATATATATATATGGATCACCTAAAAAGGCTGGAACATCTACTACCATTAGAGGTTTTAATGGGAAAATCAGCTGACCAATGGAGGCTTAAACGGATTATACCTTTTGGGATTGATTTATATAATCAAGACAAAAGTAGTGATACAATGAATTGGATATTGATAGGAATAAAAGGTACTATTATATAATATAATGTGATGTATGCACTGGTGATATAACTACAGCTACATGTGGATATAATGTGGGTATGTGGGTATGATGGAAGATCCAGTCGGGTATATATAATGGGAAGATAATAGGAATATCGTATAATATCGTTGGATATTACGGAATGTAACCTGGATACATCAAAACAACCTCACGTTCCCACGTCGCTATAGGTTTTTGTTGGCAGGAGTAACGATCCCCAAAATAGCCGAACTTTCCACGTTAATTACTGTACTATAATAGTTTATCCAGAAATCTGTATGAAGCGGGGATACGACGGGAATATGATGATAGTACTTATTTTGGAAAATGGTGATATAACTAGCAATAATGGAAATTTGATGGTGATTTAATGTGTAAATTTCCGAGAGAACCGTACTTGGGGTTGGTTCAATATTATGTATCAAAATGGCTTCGTCAATCTCAAACAGGCATTTGACCATCACCTTCGGGACCGTTTTTTTGGTTATCCTCTGGTAAACAAACATAGCTATTGAAAATTGCCAAATTTATGGTGGATTTACAAATTAAACATGGTGAATTTCCATAGTTTTTTGTAAACGTAGAAACCAGAGGGTAATACCTGTTGTGCATTCGTTCGTTGGGCTTGTCCCCAACATCTGTGGTGTGGATGAAACCCCCGATAGCCGATAGCTAAGTTGGTGCGACTGTTAATTGGGTTATAGTTGGTCCCTAGATAGCTAAAATTGGCTAAAATGGTTTATACTCCAATAACCTTGCTTTATGATACTTGTAACTCTATCTGGTTGGTAATTTGGAACATTTTTTGCAGATATTGGGAATAGTAAGCCCAACTGACTTTCATATGTTTTCAGAGGGGTAGGTATACCACCAACCAGATATTTATGATACTCTGGTTGGTGGTGTCAAACATTTTTTATGCCTGCGGCAAGCCCGCCGGCCATAGCCATTTGGTGCATAGAGACATTTTATATGAGCCTTCGGCGTAGTCGCAGACCGTGGCCTGGACAAAAACAAGGCCTGTGTGTGTGTGTAAAAGCATCTGTGCGTCAAAGCTGCGGTGTGTAAAGGCTTCTGTGTGTAAAAGCATCTGTGCGTCAAAGCTGCGGTGTGTAAAAGCTTCTGTGTGTGAAAGCGTCTGTGTGCATAAGCGTCTGTGTGTAAAAGCATCTGTGCGTCAAAGCTGCGGTGTGTAAAAGCTTCTGTGTGTAAAAGCATCTGTGCGTCAAAGCTGCGGTGTGTGAAAGCTTCTGTGTGCAAAAGCATCTGTGCGTCAAAGCTGCGGTGTGTAAAAGCCTCTGTGTGTAAAAGCATCTGTGCGTCAAAGCTGCAGTGTGTAAAAGCTTCTGTGTGTAAAAGCATCTGTGCGTCAAAGCTGCGGTGTGTAAAAGCTTCTGTGTGTAAAAGCATCTGTGCGTCACAGCTTCTGTGTGTAAAAGCTTCTGTGTGTAAAAGCCTCTGTGTGTAAAAGAGTCTGCGTGTAGAAAATTCTGTGTGTAGAAGTGTCTGTGAGTAAAAGCTGCTGTGTGTAAAAGCTTCGGCGTGTAAAAGCGTCTGTGTGTAAAAGCTGTGGTGTGTAAAAGCTTCTGTGTGTAAAAGCTTCTGTGTGTAAAAGCTTCTGTGTGTAAACGCATCTGTGCGTCAAAGCTGCGGTGTGTAAAAGCTTCTGTGTGTAAAAGCATCTGTGCGTCAAAGCTGCGGTGTGTAAAAGCTTCTGTGTGTAAAAGCATCTGTGCGTCAAAGCTGCGGTGTGTAAAAGCTTCTGTGTGTAAAAGCATCTGTGCGTCAAAGCTGCGGTGTGTAAAAGCCTCTGTGTGACTGTGTGTAAAAGCATCTGTGCGTCAAAGCTGCGGTGTGTAAAAGCTTCTGTGCGTCAAAGCTGCAGTGTGTAAAAGCTTCTGTGTGTAAAAGCATCTGGGCGTTAAAGCTGCGGTGTGTAAAAGCTTCTGTGTGTAAAAGCATCTGTGTGTAAAAGCTTCTGTATGTAAAAGCGTCTGTGGGTAAAAGCTTCTGTGTGTAAAAGCCTCTGTGTGTAAAAGAATCTGCGTGTACAAAAATCTGTGTGTAGAAGTGTCTGTGAATAAAAGCGGCTGTGTGTAAAAGCTTCGGCGTGCAAAAGCGTCTGTGTGTAAAAGCTTCTGTGTGTAAAAGCTTCTGTGCGTAAAAGCGTCTGTGTGTAAAAGTTTCTGTGTGTAAAAGCCTTTGTGTGTAAAAGCTTCTGTGTGTAAAAGCGCCTGTGCGTAAAGTTTCTGTGTGTAAAAGCTTCTGTGTGTAAAAGCTTCTGTGTGTAAAAGCTTCTGTGTGTAAAAGCTTCTGTGTGTAAAAGCCTCTGTGTGTATAAGGGTCTGTGTGTAAAAGCTTCTGTGTGTAAAAGCTTCTGTGTGTAAAAGTTTCTGTGTGTAAAAGCTTCTGTGTTTAAAAGCTTCTGCGTGTAAAAAAATCTGTGTGTAGAAGTGTCTGTGAGTAAAAGCTGCTGTGTGTAAAAGCTTCTGTGTGTAAAAGCGTCTGTGTGTAAAAGTTTTTGTGTGTAAAAGGTTCTGTGTGTAAAAGCTTCTGTGTGTAAAAGCTTCTATGTGTGAAAGTTTCTGTGTGTAAAAGCTTCTGTGTGTCAAAGCTTCTGTGTGTAAAAGCTTCTGTGTGTAAAAGCTTCTGTGTGTAAAAGCGTCAGTGGGTAAAAGCTTCTGTGTGTAATAGCCTCTTTGTGTAAAAGCGTCTGTGTGTAAAAGGTTCTGTGTGTAGAAGTGTCTGTGAGTAAAAGCCGCTGTGTGTAAAAGCTTCGGCGTGTAAAAGCTTCTGTGGGTAAAAGCTTCTGTGCGTAAAAGCGTCTGCGTGTAAAAGCTTTTGTGTGTAAATGCTTTTGTGTGTCAAAGGTTCTGTGGTTAAAATCTTCTGTGTGTAAAAGCCTCTGTGTGTAAAAGCTGCTGTGAAAAGCTTCTGCGTGTAAAATCTTTTGTGTGTCCAAGGTTCTGTGTGTAAAAGCTTCTGTGTGTAAAAGCTTCTGGGTGTAAAAACCTCTGTGTGTAAAAGGTTTTGTGTGTAAAAGCCTCTTTGTGTAAAAGCGCCTGTGTGTAAAAGTGTCTGTGTACAAAAGCTTTTGTGTGCAAAAGCTTCCGTGTGTAAAAGCTTCTATGTGTAAAAGCTGCTGCGTGTAAAAGCTGTTGTGTGTGTAAAAGCTTTTGTGTGTAAAAGCTTCTGTGTGTAACAAGCTTCTGGGTGGAAAAAACACTAGAAATCCTTCACTCTGCTGGGGGAGAGCTTTTTGGACGGAAGCCGGGAACGCCTCTGTGTGTAAAGGCTTCTGTGCAAAAGCTTCTGTGTGCAAAAGCTTCTGTGCGTAAACTTCTGACGAGTCGAAGTCGGAGTAGGCGTCGGAGGAGGCGTAGGAGTGGGAGTAGGAGTGGGAGTAGGAGTGGGAGTAGGAGTGGGAGTAGGAGTGGTAGTAGTACCAGTGGCAGTAGTGGCAGTAGTGGCAGTACCAGTGGCAGTAGTGGCAGTAGTGGCAGTAGTGGCAGTAGTGGCAGTAATGGTATTAGTAGTAGTAGTATCAGTAGTAGTAGTAGTAGTAGTAGTAGTAGTACTACTACTAGTAGTAGTAGTACTACTAGTAGTAGTAGTACTACTAGTAGTAGTAGTACTACTAGTAGTAGTAGGGAGGGGGAGGGGGAGGGGGAGGGGTTGATTCAGACGAAGCAAAAACGCGCGGGAAGAGAACAAAGGAACAAGTACAAGCCAAGAACAGAAACAAATACAAAACAAGAACAGAAACAAGAACAACACCTCACAATCAGACACGCCGGCAGGCCGGCGGATTTTCCATCATATATGGGATAATCCTTCCCAACTGACAAATATTTTTCAAGATGGTTAAAACCATCAACCAGTACTTGTAACTATATTCATTGGGGTTAATAAACCAACAAACAGAACTTGGGGGCACCGTGTTGCAGTCTCATGCAGTCTGGTCTTCAATCTTTCCTGGAAGTGCGGAACGATTTTTTGTGGTTGTCATTTGCCCCATCCTTTATGTTAGTTACACACATGGAACGGTCCCAACTATGTGCAAATCCCCGATGAAACCATGGTTTCAATATATTTCAATGGTTTCTAGGGGCTGTTTATGGCTGTTTCATGTAGGGGGATAGGTTCAAAATCCAATCTATGTCTGTAGTCCGTGACAGTCTAGAGGATCATCCCAGGAATCCGAAAAAAACGGGTACGCGTAACTTATACGCCAGCAAGGTGGCGCCCTCCAAGTTACATTTGCTGGTGTGTAAACCCCATGAACTATATAGTTATATCATACCCATAGGATCCATGTATGGTATATATACTAACATTGGGGGTATATTGATGGTAAATGTTACCATATATAGCATACATGGATCCTATGGGATATAGTTATATCATGTTATATCATGTAATATCTCTCACGAAGCATAGTGAGCCATTGCAGCCATTGCAGCCATTGCATGGTCAGCAACTTTTTCGCGCCCTCGCAAAGGGGAGCCCCATTGAGCGCCGCTCACCACGCATCGCCCACCTCAGGTTGCCACAACATCTTCTCATCGTCGCTGGGCGCAGACACCCACCAGATTTTTGGGGAAACCATGGGAATCCAGCTACGGCCAAGGCGCTTGATGAAAACATAGCGCGTTATGTACCCAACTGATCTCTGACATGAAGAAAGTGAGGGTTTTTTTGGGACTTCAGGATTAGATTTGGATGTGGGTATGGAAATGGGAATGCCATTCACTGCTGGGTCTTGAAGCCGCCTGTTTTTGGCACAAAGGATTGGAGTTGGCGATACCCATCAATGAGGAGGCTGGGTGTCCAATTCTTGCCTGATTCTATTTGCACTGTTGTAGAAGCTGGTGCCTCATAGTTAGCTAACTTATCCAATGTGACAAGGGTTTATGATAGATACCTTGCCACCACCAGTGTGTCCCAACTCCCCCCCACCACACAAGGACTGAAGGCACATGCCAGAGTTGATGTTAATTCCCAAGAATTGCAGTTTGTCCAAATATGGGGACCCCAATATATGGAGCATACATCCACCATGTCTTGGCAGGACCATGTTTGTTGGATAAAGTGTTTACATGCATTTACCCTCTGGTAACATGAACATGGAAAACCAACCATCCTATGAATGGAGGTTTCCATGGGAAAATCATCGAACTAAATGTTGGTTTCCCATTGCCATGTTTGACTTCGGAAGGGCTTGATATTCGTGCTGATGAAATCCCAGTGGTCAATTTCTGTAGGAAATGCTGGCCAAGCGGCCTGCTGATGGAAATCAGGCCCAATGTCCCACGCTCTTTTTGTAAACCTGAGCAGTGGCTGCAAGCCACCCCTTTTGGTTGATGATTAGTTCGGGGATTGTACTATTAAAATCTATTAAACAATAAGAATATAATTCGGAACATATCACAATCCAGAATCAGCCACAGGGAAATCTGAGGTTCGTTCTTAACCAACCAGGATTCAATATGGACGGGTTTTGAACGCTGCTCACCTGGCCAGGTGGACATCAATTTGCTCTTTCCCTTGCTGGCTGGCTTTCAGGTCACCTGGCTCCGAGATTTACGGTGGCTGACTAGATGATTTTGCGGAGAAGTTCTTGGAAGATCTTGCAATATGTTTTTGTGCTTGGCAACCTTGGTTGGTTTTAGCTATGGTACAAGCCATGATAAGCTCAGTTTGATGAACTTACCAGGGTTGTTAGCCACTTACAAACTGGGATGTTTCTTCAATTTAGCCTCCTACCTCATGGACCGAAGTGAAAGGAACAACAACTCTTGCAGCTTTGATCCTGCACTGTAGCCAAGATGACAGAATAGCGCGCACCTGCGATCTATGTCAGGAGGCTTTTGAGGACGTGGCACAGCTCCACATGCACCTGCACTCGGCACACTCCCTTCAGGTACATGATTGGAATCCGGCACGAGATGCAATGCCAGATACAGATGCCTGCACCCACTGCGGTCTGGTGTTTGACACCCGAGACGGGCTAGGACGACACATCGTCGATGGGAGATGCCCCCATTTTAACCCACAGGCAACCAATTTTGCTGCTTCAAAGTCATCATTTTGGTTTTATCAACACTCATTGTGTTGGTTGAACAACATCGAAAGATGTTAATACTTAAAAAAGGTGAATGTGTATATTGCACAATATTGCACATACCATGAAATTAAATCCCCTAACTCAAGTCAACATACTCTAAAATCCTCGAGACATAACCAAACCTGGTCTATTCCAACTATTTTCAGGGAATAAAAGATACGCATTTGCCGTCAGAACTTGGATAGACGGTCCAATAAAAAAAAGGGAGATTTTGCCACCAAAGTAACTACCATTTGGATGACTTAAGGGGACGGTCTACAGGAAATGAGGGTCTTCGCTGTCCAGATTTTCCCGCTCTGAGATTTGATGAAATCATGGGGGAATCCTCAGTATTGGGGTTGAAGCACTGAGAAGGGAGGAAAGATGAGGAAAGACAAAGGAGATGGTGGAAGATCAATATGGATCAATAATTTCAAAACGTGGTATGTGAAAGAAGTGAAAGAGTTGTGTCTGAGTGTAAAAGATCGTGGATGCCACCAAGTGCCACGGCTGCCACGCAAAGTGCCGCGCAAAGTTGTGTGCGAAAGATTGTGTGTGACAAAGTTGTATGTGACAAAGTTGTGTGTGTGTGTGACAAAGTTGTTTGTGTGTGACAAAGTTGTGTGTAACGAACTTGTATGTGGAAGAGTTGTGACAAAGTTGTGTGTGTGTGACAAAATTGTGTGTGAAAGAGTGTGTGTGATGAAGCTGTGTGTGGAAGAGTAGTTGTTTGTGACAAAGTTGGTAACAAAGCTGTGTTTGAAAGAGCGGAGGAGGACGACGAGGAGGAGGAGGCGGCCGGGAGGCCGGGAAGATCCTATCAATCCATTGGTTTCTAAGGTCTACACCCAAGGTTCAAGCCAGCCCTTTAGCAGTTATATAACTGGTCATAAACGGGGTGATCCGTCCATAAATGTGGTTATAGGATGTTATAGGGTTCAACTGACTTTTATCAGTGGTAAACGGCCGTAACGTTAGTAAGTTCTATACCAATAACGCCGAATTCAAATCGGGATCTGGAGTTACTGTATCTGATCGAGGGAAACGCTGTGGCAGTGTCTCGATGCATGGCTTGTATAGCTGGAACTGCACTTATATGACCAATGGATCCAAATCCCTACTCGTCCCAGCTGATTCCATTTACTGGGAGTCATCACGGGGTCGTCCGATGAATTAAAAAAACGTCTCCCATTTGAGCATTATGTCTCATAAAAAACACCAAATTAGTTGGTCAAAAGTTGAGTCTTCAACAATTAGCCATACATCCCATGAACAATCCCATTATGCAATCAATAAGCCAATTAGTTAAAACTCTGCAGTGGATCATTTATACATGGTGGTTGTGATCATTCCATTCGTGGTATACACTAGGTATGAACCCAATAGTTAACCCATGTTCCATTGATTCACATTGAACATTCACAAAAATAGAGGTTTCGTATAATCTACACATAGTAACTGGTTGGTGGTTTCAAACATGTTTATTTTCCATAATATATGGGATAATCCTTCCCATTGACTAATATGATTCAGAGGGATTGAAACCAGCAACCAGTCATTATTATTAACCATCATTAACCATATATATAATCACCATTCATTAACAGTATATTAACAGTATATTAACCACGTATTAATCAACCAGAAAATGTAATTAACCATCATTCACCATATATTAACCATTATTAACAGTATATTAACAGTATATTAACCACGTATTAACCAACCAGAAAATGTAATTAACCATCATTCACCATATATTAACCACTATTAACAGTATATTAACAGTATATTAACCACGTATTAACCAACCAGAAAATGTTATTAACCATCATTCACCATATATTAACCATTATTAACAGTATATTAACAGTATATTAACAGTATATTAGCCACGTATTAACCAACCAGAAAATGTTATGAACCATCATTCACCATATATTAACCATTAGAACAGATGTTAACCCGATATAGACAGTATATTAGCCACAGTATTAAACAACCAGAGAAAATGTTATTAACCATCAGTCACCATATATTAACCATTATTAACAGTATTATTAACAGTATATTAGTCCACGATATTAACCAACCAGAAAATGTTATTAACCGAATCATTCACCATATATTAACCAGTATAACAGTATGTTAACAGTATATATTAGGGCCACGTATAACCAACGCAGGAGGAAAAATGTTATTAAAAATAATTCAGCCATATATTTAACCCATATTAAAAGTATTATATTAACAGTATATTAGCCACGGGATTAACCAACCAGAAAATGTTATTAACCATCAGTGTCAAAGATATAACCAGTAGAACACTAGATTAACAGTATATTAGCCAGTATTAACCAAACCAGAAAATTTTATAACCATCATTCACATATATTAACCATTATAAACAGTATTATTAACCGTATATAACCACGTATTAACCCCCCCAACCAGAAATGTTATTAAACCATCATTCAGCCATAATATTAACCCACTATTAACACAGATATAACCGATATTTAGACACGTTAGTAACCAACTCAGAAGAAATGTTATTAAGAGCCATTCATTCACGCATATATTTTAACCATTATTAAACAGTATATTAACAGTATATTCCAGTATATTAGCCACGGTATTTGTAACCAACTCAGAAGTAAATGTTATAGAACCAGAGTCATATTGTTTAGTCAGACGCATATATTAACCATTATTAACAGTATATTAACAGTATATTAACAGTATATTAGCCACGTATTAACCAACCAGAAAATGTTATTAACCATCATTCACCATATATTAACCATTATTAACAGTATATTAACAGTATATTAGCCACGTATTAACCAACCAGAAAATGTTATTAACCATCATTCACCATATATTAACCATTATTAACAGTATATTAACAGTATATTAGCCACGTATTAACCAACCAGAAAATGTTATGAACCATCATTCACCATATATTAACCATTATTAACCATTATTAACAGTATATTAACAGTATATTCGCCACGTCTTAACCAAACAGAAAACTGTAATAACCAATCATTCACAATATATTAACCATTATTAACAGTATAATAAACCGATATTAGCCACGTATTAACAACCAGAAATGGTTCAGTAACCATCATTCACCATATAATTACAGTATTACCCATTATATTAACAGTATATTAGCCACGTATTAACCAACCAGAAAATGTTATTAACCATCATTCACCATATATTAACCAGTATTAACACTATGTTAACAGTATATTAGCCACGTATTAACCAACCAGAAAATGTTATTAACCATCATTCACCATATATTAACCATTATTAACAGTATATTAACAGTATATTAGCCACGTATTAACCAACCAGAAAATTGTATTAACCATCATTCACCATATATTAACCATTATTAACAGTATATTAACAGTATATTAGCCATGTATTAACCAACCAGAAAATGTTATTAACCATCATTCACCATATATTAACCATTATTAACAGTATGTTAACAGTATATTAGCCACGTATTAACCAACCAGAAAATGTTATTAACCATCATTCACCATATATTAACCATTATTAACAGTATATTAACAGTATATTAGCCACGTATTAACCAACCAGAAAATTGTATTAACCATCATTCACCATATATTAACCATTATTAACAGTATATTAACAGTATATTAGCCACGTATTAACCAACCAGAAAATGTAATTAACCATCATTCACCATATATTAACCATTATTAACAGTATATTAACCGTATATTAGCCACGTATTAACCAACCAGAAAATGTTATTAACCATTATTAACAGTATATTAACAGTATATTAGCCACGTATTAACCAACCAGAAAATGTTATTAACCATCATTCACCATATATTAACCATTATTAACAGTATATTAACAGTATATTAGCCACGTATTAACCAACCAGAAAATGTTATTAACCATCATTCACCATATATTAACCATTATTAACAGTATATTAACAGTATATTAACCACGTATTAACCAACCAGAAAATGTAATTAACCATCATTCACCATATATTAACCACTATTAACAGTATATTAACAGTATATTAACCACGTATTAACCAACCAGAAAATGTTATTAACCATCATTCACCATATATTAACCATTATTAACAGTATATTAACAGTATATTAACAGTATATTAGCCACGTATTAACCAACCAGAAAATGTTATGAACCATCATTCACCATATATTAACCATTATTAACAGTATATTAACAGTATATTAACCATGAAACCAGCAACCAGATAAACAATTCGCTTGGAAACTCCGCGGCTCCGAGGCCAGCAGCGAGGCCATCAGCGGTGACTTCGAGGAGCCGACGTCTTCTCCAGCGAGTCGCCCTGCGACTTGGACGGAGAAGTTCGACGTTGTCGTGACCGTTGTAGGGGGAAATCGTTGGCAGAAGTTTTCCCGTGGTACAGGAAACTGGTTGGTGGTTTCAATCATTTGTTCATTTTCCATCATATATGTGATAATCCTTCCCAACTGACAAATATTTTTCAAGATGGTCAAAACCACCAACCAGGGAAATAATTGACATATGAACTGAGAAACCCATTTGTAACCAGTTATAGCTGGTTTCTAAGGCTTTAACTGACGGAACAGAACTTAGATCCTTGTGGATTGGTTTAATATGAACATGTGGGGGTTTCCATAAATGGGGGTATCCGCAAATGGTTGGTTTTAAATAGGAAATCCCAATCTAAAATTGATGATTTGGGTAATACCTCCTCAATTTGATGGCCAATCTAGTTGGTTTGAATATGAAGATTTGATAGATGATTGGTTAGGCATCACCACATTAGATGCAGACAAGCATGGCCCATCACTCAAAAATGCACTTGTAGGAGCAGCTTCATTTTGCAAGTCAATGCTTGGCAAGGCCCTACTACGAGATCCAGATCGTGGCCTTGCCCATTTCAAGGACACATTGAGACCATACTTCGTGAAGAGAGTCCTCCAGATGTTTCGCACATACCGAGGCCAGAATGAATTCGTGCACTGGATAGTGCGTTTTGAGATTGCACAGAAGAGACTCCTTGCATCGTGGGCAGACTTGCTTGATCTTTCCGATTTGCCCGATGTCACCCCTATTTCAAGAAACGACCATATGTATAAGAATTGTCCTGGAAGTTCCGAGACCAAGTTGATTTTTGGGCGTTGAACTCAAATATCTGGGTTTTGATTTACTTCCTGAGTTTTCCCGGAGCATATTCTATAGGGGTCATAGCAAAAAGGGTGTCAAATTCACATGTATTCTAATCTCCCTCCTGTAAGAGTTTCAGGGCACCTTTGCTTCTACAGTTGATGTGCGACACCCAAGCATTAAACATTCCCAATCCGGGTCGAATGGTTGATTTCTTGGTGATTTGGTTTGCCCTGCTTGAGATTGTTTAGGATCCCCAAATTCCGGGTTAACTTGAAATGGATATGTTACAAACTAGTTTTGTTTGGAAAGGAAAAATCGCAGATTGGCCAGCAATTAGTCAAACATATGGCGGTGTCTGGAAAAAAATTGGGGCATACCCCCACGTGGCCTCTTACTTGATGATACACCGCTGGATTTAGGGGACCGAAATTGTCAAAGAAACCAATAAGCCCTGGTTTGTTTCCTCAGTCATCATACAGCCCGAGAGCTGGTTAAGAATCCGAAAGCTTGAGGCCCAGGGTCCCTCAAATTCTTTTTTTTTATTGAAGGCAAATTTACACCACAAGAGGCCGAGGGTCCTTCAAATTCTTAGAGCGTTCTTAGTTATGTATTACATGCATCTGCACAATTTGGAGCGAGCTTAAAAAATTTGACAAGAGGCATGCATTTTTTTTTTTGGAGCCTGAAAATTTGTTGTTTGCAAAGCCGGGCTTCTCTGAGTCTCATAAGAGCGGCGAAGAAAATAAACAATTTTTCAGAGCGTGAAAAATTGATTTTTCGCAGCTGCCCATGCTAAACCCATCCCTTGGCAGCCAAGGCAAAGAAAGAGAATGAGAAGGCAAAATTCCTTGAAGGCAAGGTTCCTGTAGCATAATGGTCAGGGTGTTGGACTTCAGGCTTGAAGGTTGGAGATTCAAATCCCGGCAGCGGACTCTTTCGGCATCTAATAGGGTCTGTCACTATGTCATTTTCTTGGTTTCCTGTAGTCTGCCCTTTCACCATCACACCGCGCATGCAACTTGTCAGAGTTGTTGCAAGGCTTGGCTTCATGGATTGGAAGCAGTCCAAGCATGTGCAAAAAAAAAATTGGAGCTTGAAAAATCGTTCTTCTGCATAGCCCGATTTCATCCCATAAGACCATAAGGGGTCACAACACAAAAAAATGAACCGCAAAGGGAATTGCAAACCTCACATATATATATATATATAAGCAGTAATTTAAGAATTTGGCAATCCTATTCCAGGGTCCCTCAACTTCTTAAAGTACTATGTGTTTGGTATAGCTGAAACTATGTAGCCCGCCTTGGATTGGAGCCCTTCAAATTCTTACAGTGAATTCTTGTACAATACTCAAGTTGTAGTTCATGGCAGATATATCTGGAATTATAAAATTCGGTGTTTTTACCCAACAAACATTTCACCACGGATATACTCGGGAAATCCAATACAAATTCCGTGCATTCCATGGTTTGTTTTCCGGGAGTTTCCCATATGTTTGCCAAATATTTGCCATATAGTCCATGAGTTTCCCATACATGTTTTTCCTTTTCATCCATATATTTCTCATACACTTCCCATATTATTTTTTGGACGCGAACCCTGAGGATCCACAACTGTGGAGCCACCTTGAGAAACTCTTGGAAGCAGATCGGAGCCTTGGACCTCGGGGGGATGGGTGATGTGTTCTAGGGACTGAGATTGATATGTTATAAGCAGCAAACATGATGGAAACCGTTGGAAAAGCATAGGAAAACCAGAGGAAAATGGTGAAAACCATTGGAAAACCACAGGAAAATGGTGATTTCAGCAGGAAAATATGGGGATTGAGTGGGACCGCTGATTTATGAGAGCTAAGTTGGTGAAGATTTGCCTAGATGAAGTATGGTGGATGTCTATGGTAGATTATCGAACTAGTTCATAGTGGTTAACACCAACGTGAAACTGGGGAGGGAACATCATCTTGAAGGATTTGACCAAAAATGTCAGATTAGTAGTTGTGATTTTGGAAGTCGAGCAGATGTTCTATGAGTAGATTGAGAACATGGCTTATGGATGTTCATGGTAGATATCATCTTGCACACCAGCAACCACAACTGGGGGGTGGCACATTGTAAAGAACAGTGGTGTTCCCGGAAATTAAAAATAAATAAATACATATAAATATATATATATATTATATGTGTGTAATTTAATAGATATGACAAAGCATGTGTGTTTGTGCCTTGTTGTTTTGGAAGACATTTTTCTACGTGACACTGGGCGTTTTTGTTGGGACTAGCGATGGAAAGGGACCTCGACGGGGACCGTGGAGCTGGGCATATAAGGTGGTGCCCCCCCAGTGATGCTGGTTTATAAACTCCATGAATACTAGTTCGATATACCATAAACCAAATTGTTGAAGTTATTGGCACCAAGTTAGCCAACTATGGGGCACCACATTGTATTTGATGTCTACAGTTTGAGCCCTAGAAACCACTTATAAATGGTTATAAAGTTATAATTCCATAAATGAGGTTATAGCTGAAGTTTAACGGATAAACGGCCAGAAGTGTCTACTTAGCAGGGGGGAGTTTAAACTGGCTTTCTACTTCAGCATGTGTTTTGTAAAGACTCCTGAATATGCGTACCATAGTCAAGCTAGTTGGATTCCATGTTAATAGGGATTTAGATAGGCATTATGGTTGAATGCCCATGGCACGGGATGACCATAAACCATATACACCATGTTTTGACCCTAGCACATATATAGGATGGAGATGCAGAATTGAAAGTCGAAAAGCAGAGCCGAGAATCCGAGAACGCAAGATCGATGCAGCAATTGCACGAGCTTCCGAACGATGGGGAAGCTAAGGTGGAGGAAGGGTTTTCATTTGAGTATCGAGATGCCGGGAGATGTTGGTGGCCATGATTGTGATGATCAAGGTTGTGAAGATCAAGGGCTTCCTGTTCGCTGACAAGTGCAAGCGGAATCCGACTGGCGACTGGCTGTCCAACTGGCTATCCGACTGGCTATCCGACTGGCTGCTCGGTTGGGGCTAAATTTTGCGTCCAGTGCAAAGTGAGGATCGGCGCTAGCATCGGGTGTCATAGATGCCAAGACCAATCGCATCCATTGTGGTGTGAGAGCTGCAAGAGATACCATTGAAGGGGTTCGCTTTCAGCTATACAGCAGCTATTTTAGTGAGAGAAGGGTACCAACACCAGGCTTCCCACCCGTGATGTCATGCATCTACAGGTGAAGAATAATTCCAACAGTTGTGGCCCGAAATACCATTATTATAATATAGGTCCGAAAGTCACACCATTTATGGAATGATGACCCCTTCTGTGACCATAAAAAATTAGCGTTAGGGCTTAAACTGAATCAGCTTTGACTACAGCATGTAATGTATTATCTGAGATCAGTGGAAAATAATTGCACTGAAAGTTACTTAGATGGGCCATGGAGCTGGTTAAGTAGTTAGTAAGTGGATTATACTTAGGATATAAGTAGTTTATAGCCCACTTACTAACTAGTTAGCTAATCCCACGGCCCATCTAAGTACAGAAGGGATACCAGGATCTCAACGCAGAGACACGTCAGAAGAACACAGGGATGAGTCAAAGCTTCTGATTGATGAAAAGTTGGTCAAAGTCAGAAGAGATGGGTTGAAACACATATTTCCTCATATTTCTATATAGGTAAACTGAAGATATAGGTATATAATACCACCTGCTAATGTCCTTTTAGGAAGCCCAAGATCTTGCTCATTCGACGCACATGTGGAATAAGATTGGGAAAGTTGGAGGGCCATATCCAAGTGACCAAGCACATGGGATTTGATCATCTTTAACAGGATGCCCCGGCATGATGTTTTTCTCACAGTCAGATCGACAGTTTCTTCTCCGTGGAATCATTGAAGTCCTTCTATATTGTGGTACAGTAACCATTCCTGCTGTTGTTGTTGTTGTTGCTGTTGCGTGAAAGCCTGACTAATTAATGTTTATCTGCAATACCCAGTCCGTTGTTGCTTTGATGCTGAGGAAGGATCTGGAGGCAAGGTCTGGAGGGGTGGGAGGCGGTGTTGCTCGAGGTGGTGAGTTTCGGGATTTTGAGAAACCCCAGAATGCCAAACATCTGACCAGACCAAATCATTTAAAACACGTGTCTTTTAGCTGAAGTTGGGGTTCTAGGAGCGCCTGGTTTGTTTTCATAGGATTGAACGCACCCCTTACCGGGCAGAGAAAGCATGAGAACGTTTTCCAACTTTAACATATTTTCACTATTTTTCGCAAGATCCCATATTCTGAATCCACCATTCATAAACCTTCGCAACTAGTTAAATGATGTTAAAGTGCTTGCTCATTCGCTGTAGTGTTCAATGGATTTTGTTGTATCTTACTACTTGTTAGATTTCTATTTTTCCCACCTGGCAGGTGAGGGTCTCTAGATTTTAACACAGGTGCAGCTCCTGAGGTCTTGCTCACTTCCCCACTCCTTCCCTTGCCCCTTGCTTCCTGTGGGCTTCGCCTGGACCCAACACGCCTGGACCGGAACACATGCCAGAGAGAATGCCAGACAGAATGTCAGAATATATATATATATATACCAGATACAATGTCAGAAAGAAGGTCAGATAGAATGTCATAGTGTATGCCAGAAAGATCGTCAGACAGAATGTCAGAGTACATGCCAGAAAGAATGTCAGAGTATATAAATAAATAAATATATATATATATATATTTACATATGCCATATATACTTCCAGATTGTATGTCAAAAACAATGTCATGCGTCAGAATAGTGTGTCATGCTGGGGGTCACTCGAAGTAAAGTAGTTTTTGGCTGGATTGATTTGGAATAACAACCGGAATCCAGTAATCCAAAAATCAAACAACAATCTCAATCAATAATCCAATAGTTTAATTGTCCTCAGCTTGATGAATTTGCTGAAGATTTTGTTATTTTCCAATTTGGTGAACCCACCAGAACTGCGGAATCCACTCGGATTATTTGCGTGTTTTATCGTTACCCCCATGAGCAATTCCCAGTCCAAATCACTCCCCGAGGCCCCAAATCACCCAACATTTCAGGTTGGTGGATGAACTTTGTTTTCTCTGTTGGTCGACACCCTCATGTTGGTCAAAAAAACCCTTAGATCACCATTAATCAAACCGCCCAGCCATTTTCCACATTGATCAGTGTGTCAATCGAAACATATTCCTCAATTTCCCACCAATAATTTACTAGTTATATATATATATATATATACTGAAAATAGTTAAAAATTATTTGTTGGTCAACCTCCTCCGCTTGATCCATATATAGAGAACCAACTCCGAGCACCGCAAGGAGGAGGAAGGCGAAGTCGTCGAGGACGCGGCGATGTCAACGGTTTACATGGGACGGTGACCGGCACTTCGTAAAGGTACAAGGTGGTGCCAGTACCGGGTTATGTTTGTTAGTTGATAAACGTTGCTGTCGTTTGGGGGCACCGCCTTGGCTTTGAACAGGAAAACATCTTGCTATAACCAACTGACATTCGGGTATGAGATTTATGATAGTTAAGTTCATTTATGTCACTAGGCTTTACTGATGTGTATGGTAGACATAATCATACCCAATGGGGTTTTTACGTAAACCAACAAATATAAGTGGCCAGTAAACCGAGATAAATATGGGAAACCAATGGACCAGTGGTTTCTCAAAAATAAGGACAAAGGTGAGGTTCGCGTGGATCCACTGGTATTCTTGGCACGTCCTGTTCCGATGAAACCTCTTTGGGCTGTGAATTCCGGTGAGTTGGCTGTACGGCGCGAGCTTGGATAGGCAGAACATTGCTGAAGTTTCCAAGTTTACAAGGCTCCAGGGTTAGTTTGATTGGCGTATAGGGTTGGAATGTCCCAGGGTTGGCGGTTCTGAGGATAGGAGGCTCCAGTCGTGAAAGATTTGTTCTTGTTGCCCTATTCCGGCAGCATTGCTGCAAAGCAAACGGTTGCTTCTGAGTGCAACTCCAATGCAGAACTCGCTGGGGGAGCCGCAGGAACTTTTGAGTTTGGCAGTGGGCAAGGCCATACGTGATGGAACATTCGAAGATGTGTGCAAGATGTATGTTCTGCGGCGAGCACCCCATTGTAGTCCTTGTGCCTCGCTTCGTCAACGGCATAGCAGGGGGAGCTGTATGAGGAGGATCCATGGGCACGGCTTAATTATTGATTGGAGAAGGATTGTTGTCAGCATGCCTGCCAAGATGTGAGCCAGCTTAAAGTAAGCAATCTGCAGGTTCGATTTAGTTCGGCTAGCACCTTGTTTGAACTGGCATCACCATGGGTGTCAACAACCTCTTCCTCGCCGTCGACCAGGACAAGTCTGCGGTGCATGAGTTGGTTGCGAGGTGACCGCAAGGGTCGACCTTCATCCATTCACAAGACTTCAGATGCAGCAGCACGTGTACTTGTGTGGAGTTGCTTGTGATGAGCCCGGGTGTAGGCCAATATAAACCGCACATGTTCACAGCAATCCTGCATCTGACATAATCAAAACCAAAATGGAACCTGGGGCCATTCGGTTTGAATAAGGCTTTCCCCATGCAGTTAAATTCCATGCCCGGTTCGGATCCTAGTTTTCTGTGCCGGTTCGGTTTCAACGATTCGGTTTTCCGAGAATACTGTATGACATTTGTACTTCATGTTTGTTACTGAAGTTTACATCGTCCCAGGATTGGTTTGTACCGGTAAAGCCATGGAGTATTGACAGTTTTCCTTTTTAGCAGCCCATAGCACCCCCACACAACAAGTGTTTCCACGATCGAATAGTTTTTCCTCATCAACTGTTCCGCATCTTTTTGTGGTTGCTGTCCATTGAGCATTTCCTCCTACACACGTCGTCGCGTTGCAGGAATTGTTCGAATGCATGGGGCCGCACTGGAGAGAAGCCATTGCTGCAGGTGGCTGGAAGATTATCCAAGATAAATCAAGATAAACGGGAAATGTAAAGGTCAACAACCGGATTTTAATGATGATTGAATTGGGACAGTGATTATCCAGCCAAGAAAATTGTGATTTAAGCATCGACAATGGGAATCCTAATGAACAAACATATGGATTTCCTCCACAACCACCACGACAACAACAACACTCGGATCGACAACTAAACTATACTACCTTTAGATGCTTGGAACTGGTTGGAACCATGGTTGCAAGACAGTTGTACACAGTCGGATAGCCCGGTGTTGGCTCAGTTGGTTGAACTAAGTAGGTCAACTCAAGAGAGTGCGGCTGTTGAAATAACATTGCAACGGAGCCGGATTTTGAAGCGGTAAACAATTGGGCGAATCAATGCATGCATTTCTGGGAAGGGGGCCCACCCTTCTCATGTCCGTGACAGACTGTAGCAGCGTTGGCTATTGCCAGCTCAAAGACTTCGGCAGTTTTTTAATGTGGTGCGACTGGACACATCAGGTTTTTGGCCCAGCTGCTGTTTTTGTTGGGTGTCTGTTAAATGCCAGTTTTTTGGGTGTCATGGGGTTCATCAACCAACAAAAATAACTGGGGGGGCACCACCTTGTAGCTGTTATCAATTATCAGCTTAATTATACATATACAAACACTTGCAAACATACATATGTTGAATAAATAAGGGGGATGGATGCATGAACAGTTAGGATGTGCACATAGATCTTTTTGTTGTATTGATATAGTCGCACTGTGCACACACACACATATATATACATATACTTGCATTGTACATGACCTAGCACTTAGATGTAATATACCTATACTAGCCAGCGGTTGGTTGCATCAGCATTTCCTATCAAATGACAGCCACGGAATTGCTAAGAGTTTCCTAACGACATGATAGGTTTGCTGGATTTTGGTAGTATGTACTGTATATGCCCCAGAGATCCCCTAGGGAATCTAAGGAAAAAAACAATACTAAATGTAGTACATAGCCTGAGGGGGAGGGGGGTCGACTTTTTTTTGGGGACCCCCCCGTCTAAAAGCTATATTAGAAATGTTTTTTTTTGGGTTGGGTCTCTGGCAATTCCTTTAGATCTTGTTTCTCACTTGTTTCTGATCTTTAGACATCCCAAGAGATACCTGGAGATTCCTGCTGGAGATCCTCAAAGATTCCTGCAATTGTGTGGAGATTTGCAAGGACCCCCAGAGATGGTGATCCCTGGAGATCCCACGAGATTTCCCTAGAGATCCCCAGACATCCCTACAGAAAGATCCCTGGAGATCACCAGATCCGTAAAGATCCCTAGAAATCACCAGAAGAAACAAAAGAATATTAAAGGCTTAAAGGTAGCCCTACTATACGGTTCCATACATATATATATACACATACACATACACACTTTACATAATCAAAATCTTTATGGAGGACTTGGATCATAACTCTATATCCCTACTATGCTGTTCTATATGCACTTTACAGAATCAGAATCTGAATGGAGGATTGGAATCATAACTCCACCCCTACTATCCTGTACTATTTGCAGTTTTTAGAATCAAACTCAATAAGAATTAAACAGCTGGACATAGTTGAAGAGTACTGTGGCAGAAACAAAGCAAATAAAATGAAACCAAAAAAGGGACACAAAAACACAAGACTTGAAACATAAATAGCATAAACAACATAAACTATCAAACAATGCCTATTTTACATGGAAATTTTGCCCCCCTATTCTGTCATATAGGAGTTATAATCCCATCATGAATGTTAAGGGGCAAAGCTGTAATTGTTCGGCCAGGTTCGCGACGCAACAGCGTCGCGAGTTTGCAACGCCAGATGTCGGAATCGAGCAGCTGTGTGGGGGCCCCAAGCTGAAGGGAATTCATTGGAAGGTATGGTGGATTTAAACGATTTAATCAAGCAACAAAGTTGGGATTTCATCGGATTTATAGTTTTATTTATGATAGCTAGGTTGGTGAGCTTGAACCGGTTTAATCAAGTAACGCTAGGATTTCTTGGGATTCAAAGTTGATTTATATTAGCTAAGTTGGTGAACATAATTTGGTTATCGTTTGGGATTATAGTAGATCTATGAAATTACCGTGGGGTGAAGAACCACCTGGTGGGATGGGTTCTATTTAGATTTGGGACTCACCACGCGCAGGGAACTTGCAAACATGCAAAGATGGTGATTAATTACCCATTTGCTATAAGTGACAATAAAGAGGCTTTGCCGTTGTGACTATCAGAGAATTGGGGAATCGCAGTTCCACTTATAAGCGGATATGACTTCATAGTGATAGGGGTTATATCCCAACTGTTGGTGGCTTTCAGATGGCGCCACACCTGATCGAGCAATTGTGTCCCAGTGAGCTTTCGTTTGCCTTTCACTTTGACTGAACCACTTCCCACACTGACTGAACCATGCCCCACCCCACCCCACCCACCCAACCCTATGTCCAACGTAGCGTGCACATCCGATGCAACTTCAAACCAACGTCAACATGCCCCACCCCACTCCAACCCTATGTCCAACGTAGCGTGCACATCCGATGCAACTTCAAACCAACGTCAACATGCCCCACCCCACCCAACCCACCCAACCCTATGTCCAACGTAGCGTGCACATCCGATGCAACTTCATACCAACGTCAACATGCCCCCCCCACCACCCCCCCACCCCACCCCAACCCGACCCCTGTCAACTCATGTGGGTAGAAGCAAGAACAGATACAACAAGCCACTAAGCCCAGCTAAAGTGCAACCAAGCGTTGTCGAACCAAAGCTTCCCCTCTGAGAGTCTGACGTGGCCAAAGCACGCGTCGACAATATTGCTATGGGGTCGCTAACGGAGGCGTTAGCATATATATGTATGTATGTATATATATATATATTTAATTTATATTTATTTATGTGTATACATATGTATATATACATATGTATATATACATATGTATATGTATTTATTTAAATATGTATATATATATGTTTATATCTTTATATATATATTTATAAATCACCCACCCCCTAAAACTAACAAAGACTCTGCCATAAGCTGGAGGTTGGAAGACTACGTTCCACTAAAAATGATTGCATGGTGGAATTGTTAGTTGGGGAATGGCATGAAAGCCCGACTTCTACCGCATTCTACCGTACTTGAAAGATCATCCCACGGATCATAACTGACTCTTAACCCTAGTAAGTGATCATTTTGTGTGGTTATCCTCTATATAAGAGGGTGAACTATTGGTGGCTCATCCCATTTAGTAAGTGGGGTATAACCCTGGTTGTTTCTATGGGATAAGTAGGGTTAGTCCACTTATAACTGGGGTTTCAAATTACTAAGTGGGTTGAACCACCAAGTAACCCCACCATTTTTTCAGCGGGATGGACCCTCCAAGTGGTGTCATATTCATTTCATTAGCAAAGTCAATCCCCATCATCATTGGTTATATATTCCCATCATAATGATTATCAAGCACCAAAAGAGTACTTGTTTATTTTGCAGTATTATTGATATATTGTGATATAGAATTGTTGCAGTATTATTGATATATTGTAATATAGAATTGTTTTCCAATTTTGTCCTAATTGGTTTATGTATTCTTGTTATATAATCATTCAACCATGTTAAACCCAGAATATCTGGGTGGTTAAAGCCACCAATTCCAGGGATGATACACCATGAGAATCCTCCAAGTAGCCGCAGTTATGGCCAACAAAAAACAGTTATCCTATAACTAAGATAACTAGTTGGTTATCATGAAATAATCCCAGTTTACCTTCTGGTAAACGTTTACATAACTATGGAAAATCACAATTTTTTTTCGGGGAAAACTCACTATAAATGGCAATTTTCTATAGCTATGTTAGTTTACTAGAGGGTATACCCCATTAATATCCCATTAAATCACTATAAATCCCTATAAATCCTTATGAATCCTTATAAATAACGTTTTTTTTCGGCAATAGGGTCCCAGTCCCTGCGCCTTTGTCTTCCAGGACGAGCTCCAAGAGAAGCTGCGCGAGGAGGAACGTGAACTCCGGGCCACCAAAGCTCACGAGAGGCCGGGCCTGGCACCAGGTCGACCTGGACTGTGAGCTGGGAAATCGTGGTTAGTAAGAGGAATCATCCTCAATATATATTGTTTTATTTGATTATCAATTGCTATTTATTATTATATTTGATTATATATGACTAAATATTATTATATAGGATAGTATATATATTTTTATATTATTATATATTACTTTTTATTATTTTATATTATTTTATATGATTATATATTTTTATTTTTTTAATTACTATTTATTATGTTGTTAGTATATATTATTATTTACTTTTTACTTTATGGTTTATGATTTGTTATTTATTATATATTATTATTTATGATAATATATTATCATATTATATATGTTTATTTATTGTTTTTTTTATGATTATATATTTCTATTCATGTTTAATTTATATTACTATTTATTATGTTTAGTAAAATATGTGTATATATATATATCTTTTTATTATTCTATATTATTATATTTGTTTTTCTACTACTATACATTATTATTTTTTTTTAAAAAAAAATATTATTAAATATGTTTTTCTACCATTATATATTATTATATATTATTATTTATTATTGATACATTTTTTTAATGATTATATATATATTTATTTATTTAATATGATTATATATTACTAAAAATAATTGTCTATTACTAAATATATATATATGTTAAAAATATCATTTTTTAATTTGTTATTATTATTTTTATATTATCATTTATTATTTGCTATCTGTTTTAATGATTATATATTATTATATTTTATTTTTTATTGTTGTATATTATTTTACATTTGTTTTTATGATTTTAACATTTTATATATTTTTGTCTATATATATATATATTTATTTGTTTTCAATTTGATATCACTATATATTATATTTATATTTGATATAATATAGTAATATAATATATATATAATATATTTTAAACTGTACATTATATATTATAAAACCTTTTTTTTCAGGGTAATGAAATATTGTAATTTACCGAAATAAATGGATATAACAGTTTTAATGGAATTTAATTGGATTTTGATGGATTGAAGCAACAACAACGGAGATCTAACCAAAGAATCTGACACATGGAAGTGGAAATGGAAACGAAACCAGCCATAATGGGGGACAAGACTAAGATAATGTCGGGGAATAGTGGAGATATCATGGGAGAATGATGGATGATGGGACATCATATGTAGATTTTGAGATGGGTACAGATCGAAATTGAAGATTGAGGGATTTTTTTTGTTTCAATTTTCAATTTTACTGGTACATAAATTTGACCCATACTCCAACATACTGTAAATGAAGATTCAAAGCCTCACTTTGCAAACAAAACCACACATGGCACTTGCATACAAACAGTACAATGTGCCCCGGTCCCAGTCTTGTGTGTTGGTTTGATATATAGATCATTAACCACATTACCGCAAGACTAGCCAACTAATCCACACGTCCCCCTGTACTTCCTGGGTAAAACATGGTAAAACCTGATTTTTGTTTGGTCCATCTTACCCACAACGTGGTGTCCCGCAGTGCCAAATTGTTTATACACCCGATGATCGCGTTCGATACATCTACCATAAATCCCATGTGTACTCCATACGCCCCTTTGACTACGTAGAGACTATAGATCTCTTTCCCATTAAAAAAACAGTTAACCCATAAACCACCTTAGCTCTGGTGATACGCCCCTCATCTTGTGGGACTTCAGTCAACGTCAGGGCCATGGAGATTGACTTCCAAGCCAAGGTGTGGCACTTCAGATTTGATGGCTATCAGTGAAGCCACCGCGGACATGTTGGTTTATGGTGGTTGAAGAGAAATATCGAAAAGTCAACCAACATCAACCAACATAACTATATACTGATTAGTGGTTTGGAACATGGTTTTTATGACTTTCCATATATTGGGAATGTCATAATCCCAACTGACGAAGTCATATTTTTCAGAGGGGTAGGTCAACCACCAACCAGTATAGCATCGAAACTTCGGAAATTGCGATCAAGACTAGGGACTTAGTCCGTTCTGGCCAATCCCTCACGTTGGACGTTGGGGATGCTGGTTGATGGAACATTCCATGGAACATGAAGGGAACATCCCAGGGAGCATCAGATATACCCTCTGGTAAACTAACATAACTATGGAAAATTACAATTTTTGATGGTTAAATCAACTATAAATGGTCATATTCAATAGCTATGTTACCAGAGGGTAACTGGAAATAGATTCGAGATTTCACAACATAAATTGTCATCAAAGGTATTTGTGTTGGTTTATGTTTATCTTATTACCCATCTAACTATGTCAATATGTCTACCACCCCGTTGTAATTATACGAACTTCCTATCAGAAATCACGTTTTGCGAATCCGTATTGTTGTTGCAAAAAACACATCACATGTTTGCTGCTTAAACTTTACCCGCCTTTGTTTATTAGCTAAACCCACCTGACATCATCGCTTGCCAATCCGCAAGACCTCACAACAGTCGGAAAGTCCACCAGTTAGTTATGGCCACCAGTTACAAGTGAATGATAGCCCCATCTAGTGTCAGTCATAACCCATTGATTTTCATCAAAATAACTGGTAGAGGCTAGAAGGCTTCAACAATGTGGCCGCAAGTTGTGTTTATTGTTTTATACCATTTAAAACTGATAAAGGACTTTCACTGCACATTGAATCTCTGGAAAACCTGCCAACATGTAAGCAGCACCGGGGATTCCATTCAGGAAGCATTGGTGCAGAATCTGATGGAAGAGCGGAGCATACTTAAAGCCAAGACCCAGGTGAAACTTGGGGTGAGGATGTGTGTTGTTTTTCTCTTTTTCTGGGTTGATATATGGGCTTGGTGCTTGAATATTTAGGGAACAAAAGAACGTGTCAATATCAATTTCATCGTTGATATCATTGATATATGGGTTTGTTACCTGAAAGAAAATATGGAAAATACTCCACTTGCTGATCCATATCATGAACATGGCGTATATTGGGGAGTATGCCTGGTTTTCAGATGCGCCCATTTGATGATATCCTACTTGAAACAGGGTACTCACCACCTACTAACCACTCTATTACCATGTTTCGGCTTCTGATTGTTTTTGTTGCAGAAAAGCATGGGGTGGTTTACCACTATTGATGTCCTGGGTGAAGCAAAACCATATAGTAATCTTGGCTTGTTTTTATGTGTTACCCTCTGGTTATTTAACATAGCTATGGAAAATGGCACATTTATAGATGGTTTACCCATTAAACATGGTGATTTTCCATGGCTATGTTAAATAACCAGATGGTACCAACAGAAACCCATGAAAAATCCGTCAGCTGATAGCTTTTGTGAACTCATTAAATCCCACTTTGTCCATGTTGGGTGTATCTGAAAATGGCGTTTTTTTTTGCAGGAAACACCCCCTTTAAAATGGCCATGGTATATTTGACATGATGACAAGCAGTCGGATTTTTGTGGTGCCCAATTTTCCAAACAAGCTCATATTGCAAAATAGACAAGCACAACTCTTAACAAGTGGTGTTATATTCTATTAAAACATAAAAAACATGATATAAGCTACAGTCAAAGCCCTGAATCCCCAGTTATGTTCTTATTGTTATAAATATTGTTAATCATATACCCTCTGGTTATTTAACATAGCTATGGAAAATTGCACATGTACAGATTATTTTCCTATTAAAACCTCCATTCATCATGGATTTTACATATCTATGTTAAATAACCAGATGGTAAAATTCCATCAATGCGGTGACTTACTGACATTCATAAGTGGTATTACGGGTGATCATTGCGTGGCGTTGTCCCCATTATATGCCCCAAAAATATCGCCATTATATCTCCATTATATTCCCATCATATATATCCCCATTACATCCCATTAAATTCCATTAAAAAAACACATTAAATAATGATATAATTATTCCCATTGTATCCCCATGACATCCCCAATGATATTATTAATTATTGGTATTTCCAATAATATTTCCATGATATCCCTATGGTTTCTTTGATGTGCATCCATTATATCTGGGCAAATTATCACTTGTCAATGCAACCGAACCCTGGAATCATGGTTAATCAAAGACATCATCCCAAAATGGCTCAACATTTCAGGCTGGTAAATTATTATCATTTGCCCACAATGTGGTGCCCCATAGTTAGCTAAGTTGGTTTATAATTTCAATAGTTGTGGTTTATTGTAGATATATCGAACTAGTTCATGGGGTTTATAAACAAATTTATAACGTTTGGGGGCCCCAGATTGCAGATATTTCCATAAAGTATCGCCGTATCGTTGGGCATTGAAATGACATCCCAGCCATGAAACCCCAGGCGCTGACGAAGCAGTTGGAGAGCAACGGCCGGGGGCATGGGCGGAATGGGCGGACTAGGGATACAACGGGGATATCATGATTTCCTTTTGTGATTTTTTGATGGGATGTCATTGTCTTTTTATGGCTGGTTGGTGGTTTGGAACATTTTTTCCCCAATAGTTGGGATGATGATCCAATCTGACTAATATTTTTCAGGGGGTTGAAACCACCAATTAGATGGGTTTTTATGTTTTTTGGGGGGGATTTCATGATTATTTGTGGGATTTCATGGAATTCTCCACCTGCCAGGTGAGGGTTGTTAGATTTTATCAGAGTTGTTCTTCTCCTCCTCGGCTAGCTCTTCTCCTCCTCCTCTTCCTCGCCTCCTCCTCCTCCTCCGCCTCCTCCAGTTTCTCCTCGACCATGTCTGCATCAACTTCCACCTCCACTTCCGCCTTGCCAACTCTTCGCCAAGCTCTTTGCCAACTCTCTTCGCCAAGCTCTTTGCCAACTTCCCAGCTCAGTGTGCACCGCTGGACCTCAACCTGGGACCTTCCCAGCTCAGTGTGCACCGCTGGACCTCAACCTGGGACCTTGCCCAGCTCAGTGTGCACCGCTGGACCTCAACCTGGGACCTTCCCAGCTCAGTGTGCACCGCTGGACCTCAACCTGGGACCTGCCCAGCTCAGTGTGCACCGCTGGACCTCAACCTGGGACCTGCCCAGCTCAGTGTGCACCGCTGGACCTCAACGGCCAGATAGAATGCCAGAAGATATGCCAGATAGAAAGCTATAAGATATGCCAGATAGAATGCCAGATAGAAAGCTATAAGATATGCCAGATAGAATGCCAGATAGAATGCCGGAAGATATGCCAGAACATATGCCAGATAGAATGCCAGAAGATATGCCAGTAACAGAATGTATAAATGTCATGGTGGGGATCGCACGAAGTAAAGTAATTTAATTTATTGGGAATAGAGTGGCCCGAAAGACCAGCTGTGGATGTCGGTAAGTCACCCCATTTATGGTCAGTTATAAACCCATGTATAACCATACCATTCATATTGGTATGATATGTTAGGTGATGGGTCATTTGTTTCACTATGAATGACTAGAGGTGATCTTTAGGTGATTTAAATTTAAAGATGATTTATGATGGCTAAGTTGGATTGATAAATGGTGTACTGGGGGATATGTTGTGGCTTTTAAATGGTGTCTTTTGGGGATATAGCGAAATTGGAGGAGTTACAATGGGGGCTACGTAACTAGGTGTTGCCCCAAAACGTTATATAGCTAAGTTTGGCGAGCAACAGGCTTCAGTAGAACTGTCCCCAAAAAGGGTTTCCTGCACCAGTCAAAAGTCCGGACAGCAGTCAGATTGGTTTTCGATTACCCTCTGGTAATAAAACCTGGCTGGGAAATCCCCCATAAATGAAGGGGTTAATGGGAACAAAACTTTCAATGAGATATTCTTCATTCCCACGTTTTAAACACGAGGTGTCTGTGGTGCGCCAAACAAACTTATAGCATCTTATAGCATCTTATAGCTAAGTTGGTGAACATAGCTAACATAAAGCTAGGGTTCGAATGGTATCGCACTCGTTATTGCGAATTGTACACCAACAAACATAACCGGGGCGGGTACCATATGTAAATTATAGCAAACCCACATATAACCCTTTGGTAATCAAATATGGCAATTGATCATATGCAAATTTGAAGTTATGTTTTCCACAAAAAACAAGATGAAGCCCACGAACCCGAATGCTCACACGTATGTTAATGGTACAGATGTCAAAACACATGGTTATGCAGTCACGCACAATACCTTTCTGCAATAGTTTATATTTGAACAGTCTTGTACATGTTTCCCTTGTTACCAGTCTGCAGTGTGGGGTGGAAAGTGTAGAGTGTGGAGTGTGGAGTGTGAAGTAAGGAGTGTGGAGTGTAAAGTGTGGAGTGGGGAGTGTAGAGTGTGTAAAGTGTAGAATGCGGAGTATAAAGTGTAGAGTGTGGAGTATGGAGTGTAAAGTGTAGAGTGTGGAGTGTGAAGTGTGGAGTGTAAAGTGTGGAGTGAGGAGTGTAAAGTGGAAAGCGTGGAGTGTAAAGTGTGGAGTGTAGAGTGTATAGTGTAGAGTGTAAAGCGTAGAGCGTGGAGTGTAAAGTGTGGAGTGTAAAGTGTAGAGTGTGGAGTGTAAAGTGTGGAGTGTAAAGTGTGGAGTGAGGAGTGTAAAGTGGAAAGCGTGGAGTGTAAAGTGTAAAGTGTGGAGTGTAGAGTGTATAGTGTAGAGTGTAAAGCGTAGAGTGTGGAGTGTAAAGTGTGGAGTGTAAAGTGTGGAGTGTGGAGCGAGGAGTGTAAAATGTGGAGTGTGGAGTGTAAAGTGTGGAGTGAGGAGTGTAAAGTGTGGAGTGTGGAGTGTAAAGTGTGAAGTGTAAAGTGTGGAGTGTGGAGCGTAAAGTGTAGAGTGTGGAGTCTGGAGTGGAAAGTGTAGAGTGTGGTGTGTAGAGTGTGGAGTGTGGAGTGTAAAGTGAGGAGTGTAAAGTGAGGAGTGTAAAGTGTGGAGTGTGGAGTGAGGAGTGTAAAGTATAAAGTGTGGAGTATGGAGTGCACAGTAAAGTGTGGAGTGTGGAGTGCGGAGTGTGGGGTGGCAAGTGTAGAGTGTGGAGTGTGGTGTGTAAAGTGGGGAGTGTGGAGTGTAGAGTGAGGAGTGTAAAGTGTAAAGTGTGGAGTGTAAAGTGTGGAGTGCGAAATGTGGAGTGGAAAGTGTAGAGTGTGGTGTGTAGAGTGTGGAGTGTAAAATGTAAAGTGTGGAGTGTAGAGTGTAAAGTGTAGAGTGTGGAGTGTAGAGTGTAAAGTGTAGAGTGTAAAGTGTAGAGTGTGGAGTGTAGAGTGTAAAGTGACGAGTGTAAAGTGTAGAGTGAGGAGTGTAAAGTGTGGAGTGAGGAGTGTAAAGTGTAAAGTGTGGAGTGTGGAGTGGAAAGTGTGGAGTGTGAAGTGTGGAGTGTAAAGTAAGGAGTGTGTAGTGTAAAGTGTGGAGTGTGGAGTGTAAAGTGTAGAGTGTGGAGTGTGGAGTGTGAAATGTGTAGAGTGAGGAGTGAGGAGAGGAAAGTGTAGAGTGTAGTGTAAAGTGTGGAGTGTGGAGTGTAAAGTCTCAGGTGAGGAGTGAGGAGTGTAAAGTGCAAAGTGTAAAGTGTGGAGTGTAAAGTGTAGAGTGTGGGGTCTAAAGTGTAAATTGTGGAGTGTGGAGTGTAAAGGAGCTTCCCCCATAGACACGGCGACGCCACAGGAAAACCAGAGACTCGAGACGAGACACGTGGGTACAAAGAAACGAGCATTTCGTGCGAGACTTCCTCCAATTTTGACATTTTCGACACGTTATCAAACAGGTTGGAATGTCACAAAGTGCCACGCCTGCCACGCAAAACGACATGACAACCTGCTTGGAAACATTCGAAAAGGACATGTTTTCCAGCTTCCCCCATAGACACGGCGACGCCACAGGAACACCAGAGACTCGAAACGAGACACGTGGGTGCAAAAAAAACGAGCATTTCGTGCGAGACTTCCTCCAATTTTGATATTTTCCACACGTTATCAAACAGGTTGGAATGTCACAAAGTGCCACGCCTGCCACGCAGAACGACATGACAACCTGCTTGGAAACATTCGAAAAGGACATGTTTTCCAGCTTCCCCCATAGACACGGCGACGCCACAGGAAAAGCAGCGAGCCACGCCTGCCACGCAAAACAACATGACAACCTCCTTGGAAACCTTCGAAAAGGAAAGGTTTTCCAGCTTCCCCCATAGACACGGCGAAGCCACAGGAAAACCAGCGACTCGAGACAAGACACGTGCATGCAGAAAAACCAGCATTTCGTACGAGGCTTCCTCCAATTTTCACAGTTGGCAACATGACAAAAAGACAAGTTTTGCAGCTTCCCCCATAGACACGGCGAGGCCACGGGAAAACCAGAGACGCGAGAAGAGACAGGTGGGAGCACCAAAACGAGCATTTCGTGCGAGACATCCTCCACTTTTCACACTTTGCAGCTTCAAAATCGACGTTTTCCTACGAGTTTTCCTTAGAACCTGAAAATTTGCAACCTCAAAATCGATGTTTCGTGCGAGGCTTCCGTCAATTTTCAGCACATGTCAGAAAATGCCACGCCTGCCACGGAATTTGCACCTTGTCACCACTTGACGCAGCCCTGCCAATGCGATTTACAAAAAACACGCCACAGGACGCGTCTAAAGTGCTGCGCCTGCCACGAAAAATGACGATGGACGCGTCCAAAGTGCTGCGCCTGCCACGAAAACTGCAACACATCTTCTGAAAACGTCGCAAAAGTATTGCGCCTGCCACGCAAAACGACTTTCGACACGTTGCAGAACACGTCTGAATGTCACGAAGTGCCACGCCTGCCACGCGAAACGAAGCAACGACACGTCTGAAAACTCCAAAAATGACCACCTCTGCAGAACTTCCCATAGGCACGGCCATATGGACCTACCGCGGACGGTTGCGGACGGCTGTGAACGGTTGCGGACGGTTGCGGACGGTTCGGCAACGTCGAGCGAACACACCCTCAACCCCCAGACCCCCAGAGTGAAACGGGAACCCTTGCTACGCATTCGGGAACAATTATCATGTAGGGGATTTCCCAGCCTGCCACGTTCGATGACCGGCGAGTAATCCAGTTGTCTTTGTGGAAGAAATGATGTCTGAATTAGATTTGGGTAAAACGCGACTTGTTGGTGACGTGGATGCATATGACAAATGAATGTTTTAATTTTGGAGCTTACCATAGCTTACCATGGTTTGCAAAGCAAACAATGAGAATTGAAAATTAATGTGTGTTATTTATCTCTATCCATCGATCGATTTATCTACCCATATATCATATAATGTGGTAGACTGACTGGTAACCGGTAACTGATGGGATGGGTGGTATAAACCATGGTGGGATCAAGTCGGGTTGACTCTTAAACATTGAGGCGCCAGAAGAAATGGAGATTAAGGCCTCTACATACGGGTAGAGTTGGGTAACCAAAATATAAATGCTCGGTAAATCGATTTTTTTCGATGGGAAATCGCTTAGCCTCAGTTTAGAACTGACTTTTGAATGGGGGGTCTTATGTTTCTATTGATGTTTCCTGTGGCGTTTCCCTGAAACCAATCGCTGAATAGCTCAGGGGGCCAGGGCGCCAAGTAGATCATGAAATGCTACTCTTGGCCTTCTCCGTTGAGTGAAGTACACAGCCTCTGGAAAGCTAACAGTTTGCGAACTTGAACATGGTACATTTATGATTATATAGTTGATTTACCGAACTTAATTTTTGTGATTTTCCATAGCTATAGTTAGTTTACCAGAGGCTACTCTAATGAGCTTGCGAGGGGGTCCCATTTTAAAAGCCTCTCAACTCGACTTTGTGGGGGCATTGCGAGCTATGGGCCGCGTGTGTGCTATCTTTATTCCACATATACCATATCCCAAATATATTCCAACTGTATCCATCCATAACCTCATAATTGATGGGTAAATCTCCCTGATCATGTGGTTGCAAATCCATACAAACTGGTGCCTTTAAAAACCCACTAAGTACAGATATATTCCCTCTAAAGAAAGCATAAAGTTAATGGAGTTATAAATCAACTTGGCTATCATAAATCAATATAAATCAGCTATGTATAAATCCCATTCAGTCCCCATGTTCATATGTTCCTTGTTTTTTCTCACCATTTTCCAGTGGTTTCGTTCAAACAATTCCCTGTCGTTCCAGTTGTGGAGCGATGGCTCTGTGGATGCGGCAGCCCCAGTTGACACACATTGGCCCTGGCCTAACAGTTATAAATGGGATGAGTTATAATTCGCAAGCAAAGGTTATCTCATTTTATTATGAAATAATCCCACTTAGAACTGTTTATTGTAAGGGCTATAACTGGAATTTCACGACTGGAAAGCCCAAGAATTGGCTTTGCCGAATCGGTGATAGCCCCTTAAGGAAGCCAAACAAAAGGATCAAAATGGGTGCATTCGCTATAGCAACACCGGAGACCTGGAAATTATGGAGAACTTATCAGCGAACCAACATCCTCGAAAAACTCTGTTGGGCATCTTGTGTTGGACCCCTATCGTTGAAATCATCGATGGATTTGAGTGTGTCTGGAGACCGGATATTCCCAGAATATTGACATTTTCAAAAATGATAACCATCAATTGGGAAGAGCTGATTAATTATCAGACAAACCATTTGCGGATTTCATTTTTTCAAATTCCATGTTAAAATTAGGGGATGAACCATGAGCACGGTCGGTGTCAACTGTGTCAACCAACGAAATCCAGGATTTTCCAGCAAGAAACATGAAAAACAACAGCAAGAGCATGAGGCTTTAATCAATCACAATGGAGACTTAATCCACCTAAATGAGATGCAGCCTAGCAATTAGTTGATCTAATTCAACATGGAGATTCAATCGACCAAAATGGATACGGTACAACAATGAACTGCTTTTGCCTGCTATGTTGATGGGTTACATTATTGTTGAACCAGCAAGAAGAAGAGCTACAATACGGTGCTTAAAAAATCACGCAGTATGGACGTGTCTACCATAAACCCTAGTGAAATATTAGCTATTTAAAACACCAGTTTAACTATGGGGCACCACCTTCTAATAATCACAGTTGCTTAGCCGCTTTTGACCGGAATGCCACGTTTTCCAAGTTAGTTCGATGATTCGGTGAACTTAACCAAACAACTGCAATGTGATGATGTTCCATAGCTACTATAGGTTCGTGTACTGGATGGTATCTAGATGTTTGATGAGTCTTGTTTGCTATAAGTGCCGGAAATCATATACCCAGCTAGAAGACATCTGCTCGAGGTTATCAGTATCTAAGTTTCGCCATAATGAAAAAATATGGAGTTGCCATGAAACATGGTGACTCATTTCCTTGTGCAAAACAAACTTTGCGTTGTGTCCACCGTGAAATTATATAAGAGCCATGGGTGTGAAATGGATCTTGGCCCCATGTTGAAAGAATAGATGTGTATTCACCACCTAGGAAGGCTGTACAGGTACACATGATGATCAGTTGAAATTTTCTGAACTTACTGCGGTTTCTATTATAGCTGATGCCTGGAAGACACCCATATTTCGTAAAGTTCATGGTGTTGTGTTCTCAAAAACACACAATATCGGTGTGTGAAGATATGTTTTGGAGATATTTGATTGGAGTTGTTAGGGACCTTCTTTGCTGAAATTTTGAAACCTATATGCCTGGCGAATCTAGTCTACTTGCTGACCTATTTCCTACCGCAGATTACACCAGTGCAAGGTACGGAAATAAATTCATTGCAACACCGCTCCCTCCAACTAGACTACATAAGAGACAAAGGAGCAACTTCGATGCAACTCCGGCTAGCTAGGGAAGGATCTGCCGGCATTCATCATCCAGTTCCAGGATCCAGTTCATCTGCGTCGCGACGTCGCGAGACGATCATCTCGACGCGCAACGTAATGACCAAGCCATGGCGGCATGGCCTGAATAGTCCAACGTAGTGACCATTCTAAGCCTTACGTTTGCGTAAAGGCATGGTTTTAAACTGGGTTCAGAAGGATCTCTCTCAGTCCAAATGGTCCAAAGATGATCATCTCCACTAAACAAATCCACCTGTTTTTGGTGCCACACCAAGAAGGTGGTGCCCTCTTTTGACCACAAAATCGTTGGTGACCATTGGCCGATCGGTGAATTTTATAGTTTATGATCATGATATATAGTCTGTACAATATGACATGGGGTCATAGCATATTCATGGAGTGCTGTTGTATCTATATATGATTGATAGCCAAGTTGGTCCCACTAACTCCAGCAACCATGGTTTTTAGGAGAGCGATCGATAGTACCATTTGGGGTTCAAAAACACCCAGCATGCCGGGACCACCTTGCACCCACCGATGCAACTTTTGAGGCCTGAGTGGCTTCGGAAAAATGTTCTCAAGCTCTCAGTCTGAAGGCGGAATAACAAAGGTCAGTGACCCCCCAAATCATAGATGGTTGCAGTTGGCTAGCCCTCCAACCAGTGATTTGATGGTGAATGGGGTGACTTATTGGCATTGGGGTAACTGACATCCATAATTGATATTTTGGGCCATAGAGAAGCCATGGGGGTCATTTTGGGGGGCGAGCCCATCAAACACGGCTTGCTGGGAATCGAAAAACCATCTTGCTGTGATTTTCCCAGCTAGAAACCTTCCTTTCGTTGATTTTCCAGTGGTCCGCCGCATTTGATCTTTTAAAAAAGGGCACCACCGCTCTTTTCCCAGAAAATGATCCCCCCCAGTACTTGAAGTTGGGCTGAAAAAAAAACATTAACTAGATACTAGTTCGTTATATCTCCAAAAATAACCAACTGGTTGGTGGTTTGGAACATGAATTCTATTTTTCCATATCTTGGGAATGTCATCATCCCAACTAACGAGCTTATATTTTTCAGAGGGGTAGGTATACCACCAACCAGCCAATAAACCCAACAGTCCACCCATCGCTTGGGCCCTGTCAGGCGCTCAGTTGGAGGCTATCGCCGAAGCCTTGGAAGAGAAGGAGGCGGGCGGCGGTCACGGTGGTGGTAACGTGGTGATTTGGCCACTGGGAGATCCCGGAATGGGAAATCATGGGAAAATCATGGGAAAATCATGGGACGTCCGCTGTAAATGGGGTTCTTAATGGGAAAGCCATGGGAGCATCGAGCGAAATAGGCCTTCATTCCTGGGGTGCTGGAAAAAATGAAGATCATATGGGATTTCGAAATCCCCGAACTAAATAGAGGCTTATACTTTATAGTTCTAAACATCATTGAACTAAATAGGCGATTTTCTAGGAAGCCATGCTTGATTAATGGAAGGTAACGGGAAAACAATAAAACAGAACATGGGGATATACTTGGCAAAATGGAGGCATGATGTTGGTATAGTGTTATGATTCTGATGGTATTCATCGACTCATCCGTGAAAACAACATATTGTGGTGTTTGATGGTGCTATAGTGGGTATAGAAAGGACAACATCTCAGATACAACCAACCAACAGCAGGCACCATTTCTATTTGGCTGATGATTTGGAGAAATAGTGTTAATTATAAGAGTCCATTGGGGGAATCCTCACAAGGTGGTGCCCCTGACATAGCTAAGTTGATTTACAGTATAACTAGCTTAAGTATGTTTGATGGTAGCTATATTTGTAGTTATAAATAATGGGGTTTATAAACCAACTTGTAACTGGAGGGCACCACCTTGTAGTTGCAGATCACTACTTAGACTGAGCCGTTGGGGATTTTTTTGGCACTTTCCCAGTGCTCAATCCACCAATTGGGGAATCTACTGGCAATGTTTTTGAGATTTCCGGGCACCATCCAAAGCAAATCCCAGTGGCACAAGATAAGACAACATAGATATGGAAAATCCATGGCTAGATCAAGAACACACTATTTTTGAATACTAGATTACGGGGGTAGCCAACCAATATAACCAATAAGTCCCAAAGAGGCGTAGCAAGTCGTGATCAGGGTACGGCTCAAAAAAGCGGAGATCTTTTCAAAGTGCAGCCGTTTTTCGCCAGAGGATGTCCGGAGAACCCCCGGGGGAAATCACAAAACCCGAGAAGTACCCGGTATGGTAAACTAACTATCCCATAGGATCCATGTATGGTATATATGCTAACATTGGGGGTATATTGATGGTAAATGTCACCATATATAGCATACATGGATCCTATGGGTATAGCTATTGAATTCATCACCGTGTTGAGGGAATCATCGAAGCACATGATTTATATAAATGGATTTATACAAATGGGCCATTTTCCAGTTCGCAAACTGTGAAATTACCAGAGGATACTTCAGATGAATAGAGCTACTGTGGATATGATTTGCGTTCCTTAGCCATGCTGCAAAACATGTACATGACCGAATAGAAAACTGAAATCCTTTGTTCAAGCTTGACCGATTCAGGAAGAAAAACAGCTTTTTGTCAACAATGGGATTCTTAGATCAAAAACGGGGTACCAACAAATCGTCATCCATATGTTAATAGGATTTGTCCATTCTAAACCATCCATTTTTCAGGTACCATCCATATAACCATCCAGCTATTGGGATACACCCGAAGGGCTTCCCAGTTGGATTCACCGCCGGGGCTAGGTCTATCTGTAACACCGGATGTATGGCAAGGTTTAGTGAACTAAGACGTGGGTATGGCATTTGAACATGGAAATCTTTGAGATTGGTGGGTTTAGAAGATCCAGTTTTGATTGTAAACGTAGCTTCGAGCCATGCACATGTTGTTGAGTTGGTGTCGTGAAATATGGTCATCATACATATTAGAAGTTCCTGTTCTAGTCGATTGGGTTTATTTTCGAAATGCTTTCCAGGTACCACAATGAAAACGAGTCACAGCCACATGTCATCATTTGAAACATGTGTTAACTCTACAAGCTGGTGTCCCCCAAGCATGCTTGTTGATTTTGAACCCCATGAATACGATAGATATATCATCTACCAGAAACCATACATTTATGCCAGTTCTAAAGCAACCTAGCGCACGTTCTAGGCACCACCATACGTAAGTTCCCTCCACGAAGTGGTAGATCATCTGCCTGGTTGAATCTCGCCAATTAGATTGTCCTGAACATGAACAAATAATACCGAATGTTTAATTTGGTATTCAGGATATGTATACAGTATATAATTAAAAATAATACCAAACATGGGTAATACTAATATTGTGGGGGTATATCCCCTTACCATAGGCCGTATGGTAGGTACCCTCCAATCAATCAGTTCCTGTCGCATGGCCATTGAACGTGGCGATTGGAAATCTCCTGTCAATGGAGGGTTTGTTTCGATGGGAAATTCATCGAACTATAAACGGGGGCTGCTTGGTGATTTGGAACATGGTTTTTATCTTACTGGTGCTTAGTAGGGAATGGATGGGGATGGGGGAATGGGATGATTATTACTAGTGAAAGCACCAGTAAGTTCTTTCCGCAATAGTTGGGATGATGATCCAATCTGACGAACTCCATCATTTTTCAGAGGGGTAGGTATACCACCAACCAGTATAGTTCTGAATAGCCCAGTTTTTTTTAGGATTCGAACAACTCAATGCACCTCTGAAAAAAATGCCCCTGATGGCATCCTTGGTTGCCGTCAGGAAACAGCCATCAAAAGCGAAATCGCGGGTGCTGGATCCAAGCCGAGGGGTGGTCAGAACTGATGTCTCAAGAGATAGAAAGTTGTTTTGGTAAACATGGCATAAAGTTTCAAAGATGTTCATGAGTTGGGATGATGAAAGCTAAATCCCCCAACTTGAGATTTGGGTTGGCAACCAGCTTTGGAGGTTAACTTAAATGCAATCCTACATTCTTGGGACGATTGGTTCATGTCCACACATCCATCAGGTCCTTCAGGTCGCATTCCAAAATTTGTTGAAGGGAAACGAAGAACCGGAACCCCCAGGAATGCGAATGTATATGATATGAAAGACTATATAGTTGGAAGTGCAGTGAACCTAGTTAACCATAGGATTTGGGCGAAACAAATCCAACTTATGGGGGTTTGTTTCACCATGTTTATATCATCCATAAAGGTAACTTCAACTGCACCTGAAAACGTATGGTTTCCTCTAGTGTTTTCCTTTAGCCAATCCATTCAGATGTCCTTTGCCAATCTCATCCACCTCGAAGTTAGGTGTGTCAGAACTGGCCGATGGTCAGGCCGGGGTGCCAGTGATCAGGAGGGAGCGGTTCCTGTTGGTATGGAAAAAACATATACCTGTGTGGAGCCAAGAAGCTACAAGCGCAGTTTCCCCAATGTGGCCAGAGGATTTTCCATGGATATTCCACTTACAACTACTGGTTGTTGGTGGTTTGGAACATTTTATATGTGTCCATTCAGTTGGGAAGAATCATCCAAACTGACGAAGTCATACTTTTTCAGAGGGGTAGGCATACCACCAACCAGACTAAGGTTTAGTAACCCGCGGAAAGATGCCGAAAAGTGGTTCCAGGATGGTAGTTCGATTGATTGGGGGTCAAACTACTTGGGTGCTGTTGAGCCTACTTGTATGGATATAACCAGTGAAATAACCCCCTGGGATATAACCCTTATAACTATGGTTATAATTGGTTACATAGTATACATACATATAATCCTTATATGGTTATACATATTTTGTATATACATATTTTATGGATATAACCCTTATAACTATGGTTATACACTTAAAACTAGAACTGCACTTACAAGTATACAATATGTCTATGGTCTACTTCCTGAACCGACCCATGTTTTTATGTCCCCTACTGAAGGTTGGGTTAACTGAAAACACTCGAAAGCTGAATCTGAACCTCGCCTGGCAATGGACGATACGCTGAGTTATTGATAGGAAGTGGACATAGCGAACTGGAAAATTGACCATTTATAGATGATTTACCGTATTGAAAATGGCGATTTTCCATGGCAATGTTTGATTGTGAGAGGATACGCTGAGTAAACCCATTTTGGAGTTTGATCAACTGGGTAAACCAGCTGGGGATTAGAACGTTTGTTAAGCTGAAATATGGCGTTGTGTCTTCTCAACCATGGCATGTTGCAAGGAAAAGGTGAGATTCAACATGATTTAACCACCAAACAATAATCGGCAAGATGAGTTCACTTTACTGGGTGAGCACAGACTACTGAATACATGTTGTTTTTCAAGTGGACGGAAGAATCAAACACTGTATCTGATTGGGAAATCAAGTACCTTTGTAAGAAGAATGTGAGATGAAATGAGCCGACGCATTGGTAGAATTACTGGCAAGTATCAGGAGCTTGTCAGAAAGAACTGATACCCAGCATCAACCACGTCCAAGCGTATAATCATAGAGCTTATGTCCCTACTTTACTTGGAATCAATTCTAAGCAATACATACATTTTAGTTTGTAGAACATAATCCATTAAATGTCCAAAAATTCTTATAAACTAATCAATCCTCATTCTGGTTTGGCTAGCATTATTGGTTGAGTCCCTGGCCTTGTGCATCTCATGTATTTTTTTTTATGAGGAAGGGTTTCGGATGGGTAGATTCTTGAAAATCGTGACGCACCATGAGGTTCCTACGGACGGTGGTACCCCAGTTTGTTTGCTAAGTTGGTTGAACTAAGTAGGATTGCTGGGGCTTATGGTAGAAGTTATGGTAGACATGTCATGATCTATCCCTGCTTGGGTTTTAAAAACAGCTTTTGACTGAGGGGCTCTGAGGGGCATCACCTTTCGCAGGGTTTCCCTTGAACAAGTGCATTGAGTTCGCCATCTCTGTCCCTGTTGCGGCTCAGACTTATTTCCATTTTTGAGCCGAGACCACAACTCGCAGCGCGATGGCACGGTCTCGCGTGAGCTTGTTGACGCTGCTGGCGTTGGCAGCGGTGCCCCGGTTGTTGCTGCTGTCAGGTTTTGCCATGTGGCGGCAATGGGATTTCCCTGCAGCCCAAACACATTTGAGATCATTTGGGATTGTAAGTATATATATATATATTATATTCATAATCTGCACTAAACAGTAGGAATTATATGGAATTATTGGAGTATGGCTTATTGAATACTATACTAACGCGTATTTCAGCTCGATTTTTTGGGAGACTTGGGCTCGACTCTTCCAAGGTCGCGAGCTGCGTATTCAAAAACGAGTCCAGGGATGATGAACGTCCTTGGAGTATTCAAAAACCCTGCGGTCAACTCACATAGCTATTGAAAATGGCATAAATGGCTGGATAGTTCGTTGATTTTCCCATTGAAAAATGATGTGAGTTTTCCATAGTTATGTTAGTTCGATGATTTACCGATTCACCTAGTGAGTTATATAAGTTATATAGCTATGCTAGTTCACCAGAGGTTAATGACGGATCCCTCGTGGTTCCGAATCAGCTGGTTGTCTCTGATGTTGCGGAACATACAAGTTTGCCTTGAATGATTCAACCATCCAGACACACCCAAATCAGAATATATGCTTGCATATATCCATCAAATCCCCATCACAGCTTCATCACCTCATTGTTGCTGGTTATTTCGCAATCGTCATATGAATAGTCCCCAGCATGTGCTCTTTCCATTTCCACCTTTATATCCCCAGTAGATCACCATCAAATAGTAAATGATCAACCATAGTTTCTGAATCCTTTCCACACATCTTTGATAGTTATTGCTCTTATAGTGCCCTATAGATTCATTTCGATTTCACCGTTACAACGCTATACATATGCGTATACGTACCGTCTATTTTTACATATTATATAATATTCAGATATACATTACAGAACATGATATATCCACATTCTATATGTGTATATATATATATATCCACATTCTATCACCATAATATTATTATATATATTAATATATTACAGGATATAATATCTCCACTATATCCACATTCTATCACCATTCTTGGTTGCTGAAAAAGCCCCGACGGGAGGTGCTTTGCTTCTCCCCCGGACTGGGCTGGTTCAGTCGAGAAGAGACCAAAGAGCAGCTGGAAAAGACGGTAAAGGTGCGATGCCCCAGATGCCCAGGCAGTGACATGTTTGATGTATGTATACCCCATGAATAAATATAGATATAAATAGTATAGATCTTTAATGATCTAACATGATCTATCATTAATCACATGGTACATTACATTTGTATGATATTTCTATACATTTATTATATATATATACTCCATGAAATATCGTCTTTCCCAGCCATGTTCCCCATCTACTTGGTGGCGAACTACCCACGAATCGTGTGTGTGTGTGTGGGTGTGGGTTAGTTCACCCTGGTTGTTTCTATGGGATAAGTAGGGCTAGTCCACTTAAAAGTGGGGTGAACTAACTAACCCACTTACTAAGTGGGATGAACCACCAAGTATAGATCTATCCCCTTTTTTGAACCATCGCTATTGCAGGGCACCACCCTGCACAGAACTAAAGCTGCTATGATGGGAATAATTTTTTTTTGCCTAATGGGAATTTGCCCTGTGCTAGTTTGACATAGACACGGAAAATGCCCAAGTGTGATATTAGGCAAATCATCTACATACAGGTCGTTTTTCTATAGCATTTTTTCATTCCCAGAGGGAAAGCGGCATCAGCCTAGCAGCACCATTCGGCTGAAAGCTTCAGTTTGCTTGGGCAAAAACACCTATTTCGGCAGCGATTCAATGGGTTTTTGTGAATCCAAATTGGTGCTGGATAAAGCCCATTCAAGTTGGTGAAATCCACCGCTGTATTTGTCCAATTTGGGATGTTAAAACATGTTTTGACCAACCGAATGCGGGGATGTTCCCATGAGATACAAGTTATAAAGTCTATTGGGATTTACTGGCAAAAAATGGAATTTATAGGAGTTTGACCAATATTGATTTAGAAAATCTGAAGCATCACTATATATAAACTATCAAACCAGGAACAACCATGTGGGAACCCGATTGGCTCTAAAAAAGGTGTTCCACAATCAAACCAATGAGGGATAATGAGCAATGCATAACCCGCATATGTTCGCATTCTGATTCTAGAAGAGTTGTTTTTTTGTTCTATCAACAAACGTTGGCCATCAAGAAACGGGATATTTAGGCTTAAACATATGGGTAGGCATCAACAGTAAAGCGTGTGTGTTAGGCATGTCCTGGTTTTCTCCATGGGAACAGTTGCTCCGTGACTCCATGGGACTGAAGTATAGCACAAGACATTGACTAAAACACATAGTCCTCGTTGTCCATGAAAGGTTTGTTGTGGTCTGTTTACAAATGACATAAGATTTGGACAAAAAGAAAAGTCCAATTCATTGTGTTTTTTTACATCCAGATGTTTAACCAATGGTCAACTGCTAGTCTGGCTGGTGTCCTCACAATTTCCAAACCAGCGTGCGCAGTCATGCAGGTCTGGAAGCAGCCACACAACTTCCGCATCGTGGGGAGCCAATTTTCGGTGGATGCTTTGAAGAAAAAGGGGGATGGGGATGTCACGTGTGATACCACATTGGTTGGACCAGCGTGCATAAAGAACTGCCAACATTTTATGTAATTAATGCGGGCAACCCAGTTACAAACCTACTGTACCATCTAATTATGTTTTGTGTTTTTTGTTGGGGGTTACCGTTTACCACATTGTTCAAATTTTAGGGAAGATCGACCAATGCCAACTGATTATTGATGTAAACTACAAGGTGCCAGGCTTTTGATCTGTTGATCTACACATATCTGTACCCAAATGTCGACAAACACTGCTGGTTTGATCTTGCTTCAACAAATCCTACTTGGCTTTGCATCCCAGTTAGTAAGTGGCTAACAACATGCAATAACCCGCAATATATCCGTATATTATAGCCTAGTTCTACGCAGGATATACCGACCAAAAAACAGTCTCGTCGCTAATTCAACTCTTAGGAACTGCAAATCCACGCGGGTCGATTGGATAATGGTGTCCAGTGCAATGATTGATACCATATTGTTGCCATCTTTGCACTAAAATCAGATAAAATCAGGACAAGCTACTGCTTATCATATTGATTAGTGCTACTCAGATTAAGTTACTGGGAATAGCTGGTAATCATATATCATTCATGTAGATGACATTAGATGACTGCTGAAAAATATGCTAATCATATGATTCATTCACCATCCACCAGTGATTTTCGCGGAGTATCTGAGGATACCATCTCCCAGGGCGCTGAGCAATGGCAAGTCAGGTCAGGGGGGCAAGAAAAACACCATGGGTACTCGGTAAACGCGTGTATAGATGTTGAAAACCCATGGTTTCCATAGGAAAAAAATGATGAAACAGATCTACTATAGATGTGGGTTTCCACATCTATGTAAACCTTTGTTGTGTGGTGAAATGTGATGGGAGATATTTTTCAATGGATTGGTTTAAGTGATTTTTTACAGGAAAGCTCCATATTTAATGGGAAATCTATGGTTTCCTGTAGATTTTCCCTTTAACCAATCCATTGATTTTTTGGGTAAACTAACATAGATGCATAAAACCATGAAAAACACAATGGTGTCCTCAGGAAAAAAATCTATCAATGGTGGGTTTTCCACAAAAAAAATGTGAACGTTGGGGGTTAAATTGCTTACTAGGTTAAGTGGGGTTTAACAATGTAAACCCAGTTCTAAGTTGGTGTGTAAACCCAGCTCAAGCTATAGATACAGTATATGATAATAATATCTATAGTTTGAGCTGGGTTTACACACCAACTTAGATTTGGGTTTACACCCCAAAAACAGGGTTCAGTTCAGGTGTGTGACTCTTTGCTTTTGGAGAGACTTGAATTTGATTGCCTGACGATGTTTACGTGCATTGTTGCATTCAACCATCAACGCAGAGAGACCTGAAATTTTGGATGTGTCATCCTCTCCTTGTTACGTCACTTGTCGACCTGGTCGAGGGCCATGGAGACGAATGGCAGCAGTGCCATGTTCGCTGCACGCGACAAGGGACAGGAGGCGGGCTTTTTTTTTTCCTTGAGTGATCCCCAGAGACGTTTGTTGGTTGATTGTCCTCATTGACTATAGTTACCCTCGCTAGCTATGGAAAACCACCATGTTTGATAGGTAAATCAACTATAGATGGCCATTTTGCCAGGATCTAGCTATGACAAGGATCCATACCCTCTGGTAATGACTAGCAGTTTGCGAACCTCAACATTGCCCATTTAGCCCATGGATAGTTCGTTGATTACCGAAGTTAAAGATGGTGATTTTCCATAGCGAACTGTTAGTTTACCAGAGGGTATAAGTATCGTAAACCATAGTTATTGGAGTTATTCATTGACCATATTGATTTGTTTTCACCATTGACCATAGTTATAATATGTATAATATGTTATAAGATGTTGTAAAATGTTATAAGATGTTGTACGATGTTATCAGAAGTTATATAGTAAGATGTCATAATATGTTATAAGTATCATGTTTCTTTAATAGTCACTGGAACGTCATCAACATGCATCAACTTAGCGATCAGAGCCTTGTGGGATTGATCACCGAAGAATTTTCATGACATGTTTAGCAGCGGTTCATTCAGAGATTCACCATTTATATATATACATATATATATATATATAATTATATATATATATACACGTATATATATATATATGATTATGTAATACTTATGTAATACTTGGATGTGCACCATTTTAAGATATATATATATATATATATAATTCTGTAACTATATGGATGTGGCAGTCAGCATTTGGGCCGATACTGCAAGCATATTTTAACTCTGTAGAAATATGGAATCTCTTTCTAGTAGTTAGTTAGTAGTTGGGATGCACATCCAAAAAGTGGGGAGGGCTGAATTAAGGGATTCTCGAGGTCAGAAATAGATTCGTTTGAGAATGGTGATTTTGTTTGAAGCCTTGTAACGTTGACAACAATAGATAGAATGTGATGCCCACCAATTATCGGTTTATAAACCCCATGAAACATAGATAAAGCCCACTTAAGCTATAGACAAACTTTGCTATCTAGGGGGTCCCACCCTGTACCTCCGGGCCCCAGAGTAATGAATCTAAAACTGCACTCCTATTTCAACATGATAGGTGTCATTAACCTTTAGCTTGACATTGAAATCATTGAAGCCCCTTCTGTTATTCAAGAAGGCCAAACTCATTGATATCAGGTCACTTTCCCCTGCAGGAACTTCACGTAGGAAACGAGATCCCACCATCATTTATCAAAACAATCCCGTACAGCCGTACAGTTATGGCCATTTGCCAGTTAGAAGACAGTTATAATGATAACATATGATAACCCCATTTATGACCATGTGTAGCATTTTGCAACCATTAATAACTGGTATATCGGGCTTTAACTGCAAGAACTCACCCCTCTGCCAGCTTCGGTGCGTGCAGGTGTCCTATGGCATCAACTACGACTCCAGCAAGAGCCACTGGAAGCCACCCCTGAACACTCGGGTCTTTGCCACCGGCATCAGCGACGATACTTTGACTTGGCATACTGTGGCCATGGGGTGATGTTTTTTGTGATGAAGCATCGTAGTTAAGTGACGAAGTTCATCATAATGTATTTAGTTCATTAACATTTGGACCAATATTATAGTCATTGTCATTTGTGTATAATATATAGTAATATATGTATTTAATATATTTTTATATATGTAATAACTTATAACAATATATATTTTTGAATTCTACAGATGATGTGTGTCATTGCAATATACAGGAATGATACCTATATGAAGAAACAACAACCACTCATCGTTTCACGAGTGGTGATGAGTGGCACCTGCGTGTTTGGAGTTGCAGGCGGCCAGCGGCCGCAAAGGTCTCCGAACCTTTTTTTAGAGCGGAGATTCGGAGATGGAAAAAGTCACTCTTTTTAGTCTGAAACCATCTGAAAGCACTACACTAAAATATCTACAAGGTGGTGCCCCAGTTATGTTTGTTGCTTTATTTTCACCCCATGACTACTTCGAGATATCTACCATAAATCATATTGAACTTATAAACCAACTGAACGCAAACGAACTGGGGCACCACATTGTATAGTTCACCAGATGCCCTGAGATCCCAATTTTCAAACATTATCGGCATGGCAACGGGGTGCTACTTTGCTTTCCATCCATAGGGGATCCGGAAATAGCTGGTTGGTTCATGGCGAAGCCTATTTATTGAAATGGATTGGGCTAAGTGCTAGCCCCATTCGAAGTCATGTTCGGAAGCTCAAATCATCTCACATCATCTAGTAGACATGATATAAACATATCTTAAATATTCTGAAAAATTATCATCTAACAGACATGACTTTGGGCTAAAGATCTGGAAAACTATAAGCACTACTATCCAACTTGGATACATGCAAACAATGGGATGATTTACTACGAAGAATTAAACAGAAAAACCACACTGTGGGTGCCCCAAAACGTTAACAAAGTTGCTGTAAAAACTCAAAAACTTAAAAGTGAGGGGTTATGGTAGATATATCATATATATATATATATATGTGCCATACTATTCATGGGGTTTATAGATATGTTATAACTGGGGGAGCACTACAGCGTATATTGACACCTGATCCCCCAGTGTCTTCTTTTTGCTGGCTTCCTAAGGAGGGTGACGCGCCAGAATGGACCGTCCGAGTGGAAGGTGCGGTGCAAGTTGGGAAGTTTTCCCACCCATCCCTGGGGGAATTCTGGACGATCACCATTGGATGTGACACATTCGGGGGATGTGACATAACTGGTTTCACAATGTTTCACATAGATCATGTTCATTGAACTTTCAAGGCTTATTCAGTCTGTAATTGTGGGATGTGGCACAATTACATAAGGTTCAACAGTTAAGCACATCCCAATCTGGGGATGTGCAAATGTTCGTCATGTTCTAGTCTTAACCACCTTGTGTGTCCTTTGAACTCTGACATGTTGGGATTAGATCCACATGTTTTCTGCGGTATCATCCTCTGAATTGGCAGGAAAAGGGTAGGACAAAAATAGTTGATTTTCTGTATCATTCTATATCTTGTTTGGTTTACTGGAGGGTACATAGATATTTTATATGTCGTTTATAACCCTGGTGATCGTAAGCCCCCGATTCCTGGCTTATCCCAGCCAGTTTCGATTCGTGGGATGTTCCACCCAATAATAGGCAGTATAGGGGTTATATATGGTTATATAATATTTAAAAACCATTAAACAAAGTTTATAACGCACGCCCAAGCCCAAGTACCACATACGGACCAATTTAGCTACAGTATCTGAAAAATCATCTATAGATACATGTTTTTCTTGGTGATATCCCCTGGTTTTAATGGTCAATGGTTAAATCCATCATATAAATAACCTATAGAAAAACATGTTTGATGATTCAATCCCAATAAAGTCACTCCCAAATGTTCAAATTCTTGGTTATCCCATTTCGTTTCATGGATAAACAGACCATGTTTCATGGTTAAATACAATCTGAGTTATATGTCTAAATCTTATAAATCCAGCAATTCTTGATGGTTAAATACCATTTTTTGAAGGTCAATTCCCGAAAAAAATCCACCATGTTTTGTGGGTGAAATGTCAGGCCCCGGCCGCGCGCCAAAGCAGCTGAGTGTGACGGGGAAAGGTCTGGAGGACGTGGTCTATGACGCCTCCCTTGGCGTGGAGAGGCGTGACGTGCCGTGGAAATCCGAGGGAAATATCAGTTCTATGCTGACGATTTTAGGAGTTTCACAACGTTGAGTTGGGATACAAGCCCTATCATGTCATTATAACCATGGTCCCATGGTACTATAAATGGAGGTTTATAGCAAAATCATTGAACTAAATGGATTCCTTTAAATCTATTATACACATGGGATGTGTTTTATGTATATATATATATATACACATTTTCACACGCACATACTTATTGCTTGGCTTTCTTACAATATCTGATATACTGGACATGCGGGTTTCTTAGAATGGGCGATCCCCAAGTCACAACGGGTTTCAATACGTCATGTCATGGTCTAATTTGGATGATTTGCCGGTACCTCCTAGATATATCCACTAGAAACCATTGTTTTACCATGTTATATCCCCATTGTATGGTATGTGATATATTGCATCTTTGGATATAGTTAATGATGTGTGTGTGTTTGTATAATATGACCTGTAAAACCTTGCTTCTACAAGGTGATACCCCCCAGTCATAAATTTGTTTATAAACCCCATTAACTATAGTTATTTTTACAATAAACCATAGTTCTTAAAGTTATTGGCACCAACTTAGGTAACTATGGGGCACCACAGTAGATAATTAATGTGTTTTTTATATAAGATGACCAGAAGAAACTTTGCTTCTACCACCAGTAGTTAAACCACTGTTTTTGTTTTTTTAATTATGGTACAATGTCGTACCATATCTTAAGCCATGGGGATGCTAGGGATGGGCCGTCATGGTTAAACACCAGGCGTTTGAAGCGCGGCCTCTTCTGGTCCTATGCCTTGGATGCCAAAGGCGATCGTTCCATCGGGGATTTCGCAATGGGATGGAAATCACCATTTTGAATGGGAAAACCATGGGAAAACCATGGGAAAACCATGGGAAAACCATGGAAAAATGGTGATTTATATGGAAAGATCCACCATTTTAAAGTTCGGTAAATCAACGATTTCAAAATGGGCCATGTTCAATAGCGAACTGTAAGAAATTACCAGAGGGTAGTTTGATAGAATCCCATTGATCATATATGGAATAGTATGATACAGGTTCATAAACATGTTTATTGATCATATAAATCAACATGTTTATAGATATAGTTTGACACATAGAATCCCATTGATCATAGCTACTGTATTGCAAATGGCCATAGAAAAGGTTGATTTGGCCATAGAAAAGGTTGATTTGCCCATTAAAAATAGTGATGTTCCATAGTTATGTTAATTTACCAGAGGGTAGTTTGATAGAATTGATCATATAGAATCCCATTGAGCATGTAGTTTGATAATGATTGTCTATATGATCAACTGATATTATCAATGGGATTCTATATGATCAATGGGATTCTATATATCAACTGGATTATTGGAATTTATTCTGTTCACTTTATATATGTAGATATTTGTAGGTGATGTATGGAATCCTGATTTTTGATTTGTTGTGAACTAACTAATTTCATTAGGTGAAAGGACAAGTCTATGGTAAAAATATCGAAGTAGTTAATGGAGAGTATAGAGCAACTTATCACTACAAGACGACATTGTATCCCTGAAGCCATTAGGGACATAAGCAGCAGTTTCAATACAAAGGACAAATTATTGGGTTTCACCCTCCAGTAAATTTTCACATAGACTCTTAAAATCATGGATTTTTAGTGGAAAGTAATCTTCTAAGTCTCTGTTTGGCAGGGTCCGTATGTTAATTTGGGGGGAGTAAACATGGGAAGCGACGGGATGATCAGGATAGACATCGATTTTTTAATAGGATCAACAAATGGTCTTTTTTGATGGCCATCAATTGTAGAGGGATATCAATGGTTTTTTTTTGCGCTGGTAAATGGTGAAAAAAAATCGATATCATTAGCGTTTTTTTTGCAGGTTTTTTTTATTATGATAGTTAGGCCAGATATTGTCCTTGAGAACTGTCCACTCAACAAGTGGTCAGGAAAATGACCGCGCATCTAACTGGGACTGCCCTTGGTCATACTATAGATAGTCTACAATGTTAACATGTTGAATAACATGTTTGAATATTATCTTAAACATGCTTGTTTTTCACTATTTCATGAAAATGGATCATATGATGCTTGAACATATTTTGAGACTTTCACTTTTTGGCTGTTTTTTCTCGCACGGTCGGCAGGTCGCGGCGAGGGCTGGAAGCCCTGGATTCGCCAAGGACTAGGACTGACGTCGCTTGACAAATCAATGGCCATGCAACGGGACCCGATTTATTGGAGGTACCTACCATATATAAGGCCCTATATGTTTCAGGGCTAAATTTCAGCCCCATACCCCCATACCATGGCCTGGCCAAATATATGGTACGTAGTAGCGACGTAGCTCCATATGGGCCGGATCCTGAAGATCTCCCAGCGTGGTTGGGAAAATCCATGGATTGGTTTTGGGAAAATCTGAAGACCGGAGGTCACCGGAAAGCAGAGATGGTCCCAGATTGGTTTTGGGCGGGCTTTCCGGTTCCAATTTTCCCTGTCCAAAACCAATCCAGAATGAGAAAAAAATGGGGAAAATGGGGATGAAAGCCATAAGAAATGTCATTGTTTTGGGGAAATTTGATGAGAAAGCCATGGTTTCTTAGATGTGCTCTTTCAGAGAACCTAGTTGATCCACCATCTGGATGATAGCCTGGAACAACATGTGTTTTATCGACGGAACAAACATTGAATTAGATTAAACATCATCAAACAATGCACAGGCCCTCCAAAACGTCTTAGCTGCAGTTTATAATGGTGAGAATCCTTTTTAAAGAAACATGCGCAAATTGAAATTGGAGTGGAAAACATGTCAAGTTCCCACATTTCCCCGGCGACCATATTTGGTTGCTTACACCTGCACCTTTGATATCCAACGCGACGGAATGTTCCTTGGCCGATCTGTCCTTGTATTGTATACATACGGTTGCATACGTATACGTACAATATATATGTGTGTGTACATATGCATGCTACATCATACTATATCATGCTATCATAACTTTTTTTAGAATTGACCTTGTCATACATCATTTCCCATCTTAGGACACAGCTATGGGAAATTGCCTATGTAGAATTGAATTCACTACTAAAAATAAATATTCATAGCTATGTTGAATTACCAGATGATCGGGTAAGTTTGTTCATTCTATACATACAGAAATATATTCATGCGATTTTTATAGTAAAGATTTCCTTACCAAGTGCATTATACAGTAAACATATAGATATTCAAACCTGAACTTTTGAACGTTTCCTCTACACGTTTCTGCCCAAGGTATGCCCCTCCTGCGGGAGATGTCAATGCCAAGTTCAACGTCTTTCAAGCCGAGTCCAAGGCAAGTCTCCATGGGGTTTTCTCGGGATTTTTCACCAACAAACATGGTGGATTTCATGGTGCTTTTTCACGGGATTTCATGGTGAGTTTATTGGATTTAATATGATTTAATGGTACCCTCTGGTAAACAGAACTATGGAAAAAAACACACACCATTTTTATTGGGGTAATTCAACGAACGAAATGGCAATTTTCAATAGCTATGTTAAATTGCCAGAGGGTATTTCATGGGATTTCAGGGTGATTTCCATGGGAATTTCGGACTTACCCTGCGGTGAACTCAGAGTTCGCTAGCAAAAACATGGCCCATAGAAATCGTTGATTTATCTACTGAAGGTGGTGATGTTCCATAGTTATGTAAACGTTTACCAGAGGGTGAATGGGATTTGATATGATTTAATATTCAACCGTTATTACTAATATGTTAACCAAAATTTGTGGGTATCTCCATTATTACATATGTTGACCAAAAATTGTGGGTATCTTGAGATTCACAACTCATTCAAAATTGTTTTTTGAAGTCAACTAGAATTTGATATCTTCATTAGCTCGCTGGCATACCCAACGTTCTGAACCACTATGGGATGGTTAAAACAAATATGGATCCCAAGCTATTTGATTACTACAATTATGTAATGGGAGGTCTAGACCAATGTTCAGTTTGTGCTTTGAGATATGTGCTTCATGTTGTTGAAGCATTTTTGGGAAAATGGTCTCCAATGACAGATGGGTGGCAGAAACCACCAGGGTGGAGTATTAGGGAAATCTGCAGCAAAGAATCATTTGCTAAAACCAATCCACATGAAGGCTTGTGAATCGTTCTATGCCACCATTGGGTCCCCCAAACCTATCTTTGGAAAATAATGAGTTCATGTTAAGATTATGTTTCTGAATCCCAATATAGCAACCGTCAAAAAGATAAAACAGTGTTTCCAGGATGTTATAGCGATGATATTTATTTCATGTTATTTCTATCTTTGTGGGAGTTACTTTTATTTTGCCTTATGCCTTCAATTGCGATTGCAATCAACGAGTCTGAAGCTTGGCTCCGTTCTGGTACCATTATGGTTGCAAGCTTGTTCTTAATTCTAGCCCCCTGCGGCTCAAAACTCAATTCTCCAAATCGCTGTTGCGTTTCCATATCTTGGTCTCAATTAAGTGACCTGTTTACTACTGGTAGATTCTTTCAATTCATCTTCAGTTTCTGCGCTGGCGATTCATCATTCTCTTCATCGTCTTGGCTTTCTACCCGATCTTGATCACCAGTTGGCCTGTTCTTTGGACTTCATCCTCGAGGTCCATCACGGCAGGGAAAAACCTTTGATTTCTACAGGACTGGGAAAACCAGTGATGTTTGTTGGTTTATGAACCATGAAATAAGCCCCATTAACCATAGTTACATATCTACCATAAACCATAGAATTCAGCTACTCATAAGCCAACTTAGCTATCTTGGGGGCCCCATCCTGTGTGCTTCCAATGTGTTTTTTAAGCCACGTGTTGACCCATGCTCACATTCTTGCTTGGGATGCTGATCATGGAACCCCAAAAAAGCCCTATTTGATCATGGACCGCAAATAGAAGGGTTCCATGATGTTCCATGTTAAACTGATATTCAACTGATGAGCCACAACATAAGCATCATAAGCCACCTTAATCCCCTAGTCCCCTAATATCAAATACACCCACAGGGAAATATCAATTGATATTGGGCTTTGTTTCTTGTTGGTTGATCCTTCGACATATTTTGGACATATTTTGGACATCTTGTGGATGGTTGCGAAATCCTGCACCATTTGGTAGATGGAAGAAATCCAATTGTAATCCCATTGTAAAAACAATGTTTCATAGTTAGTTACAAATATTTCAAATATCTATCTCATATACATATATATATATATATAATTATGTATATATATAATCTAATCTAACCCATCTATGGCAAATTATGGCAAACAAATAGTTACAGTCATGGCCCGAGTTATACCACTGCTAAGTCAGTCAGTCACCCCGTAAGCTCCAGGATCCCAATGGCACGGTGTCCATGGATTGGGAAGGCCTCTTGAGGGTTCGCTTGACCGGCTGGAGCAGCAAACAAGGTGCAAACAGGGGTCCTTTGGCATGTTTGTTGGCATAAATAAGGGTATATATATATATAGAGAGAGAGAGTAGGTATGTACTATGTGTATATATATATACAATGTGGGGCCCCCTAGTTATCAATTGGTTTATAAACCCCATTAACTATAGATAATCTACAATAAACCACAGTTATTGAAGTTGTAAACCAGCTTAGCTAACGAACTGGGGCACCACATTGTACATATGAGTCATATGAGAAAAAATAAGCATATCTATATCTATATATATATACATATACATATATGTTGTTTTGGTAATCAGAAATTGAGCAATTTGCAGGGAATCTCCTGATAGGAAAATGGATGGCTGGTTATCTCGGGCAGCATATCCACCGTAGGGAAGCTTCTGGAGGAAGTCTGAATGGTCACCGGGATCACCATCCAAGTGGTTTGTCTGAAAATTGGGTACAGGATGTGGCCCCAGTTCGGAATCGCTAAATTGGTGCAAATAACGAACAAGAGTGTATGATATTTTTGTCATATTTAAATGGGGTGATAAACCAATTTATAGCTGGGGGGGCATCATCCTGTACCCAAAATAAAGATTGTCATTTGTTTCCTGATTCAGGATGATTTTGTATGATAGGGATGCCTATTGATCAACCAGTATTTGATGGGAAAACAGGCTATGGTTTTCGTTGCTCAGCTGTTGATTCGATCGATTGCATCCCATATACCCCCATCATATACCCATAAAATCTCATAAAATCGTCATTTTGCTTGTTTACGACGGTTACGGTTGTCCCCACATAAAATGATGGGTTACCCTCCAGTAGTCAAACATGGTAAATCCACAATCCCAATGGCGGCTTTTAATGGTAACATGATCGGAAAAAAAAGGGTATGTTCGGTATGTTCCATTGCCACTCTTGATTATTGGAGGGTAAATCCAATAAAATCACTCTTTTGACTGGTTATATCCCCACGAGATGGTGTTTTAAACCTTGTTCAGATGCCCTTTCCCAGCCCAAAAAAGGTGGAAAGATCCTTTCGACGGATCCACAGCACCTGGGCAGCGCTAAGGTTGGGAGTTGGGGTCAAGCCCCCTTTGAGCTTGGGGGTGTATGGATTATAGTCATTCAATTAAGATTTGAACCATCAAATATGATAACATACAGCCCGAGCTCTGGTTAAGAATCCGAAAGCTTGAGGCCCAGGGTCCCTCAAATTCTTATTTTTAAATGCAGGCAAATTTACACCACAACAGGCCGAGGGTCCCGCTAATTCTTAGGGCATTCTTAGTTTTGTAACGCAGGCATCTGCATAGTTTGGAGCGAGCTTAAACGAGGTAACGAGGTGGAGTTGGCAGATTTGACAAGAGGCATGCGAAAAAAAAAATAGAGCCTGAAAAGTTGTTTTTTTGCAAAGCCGGGCTTGTCTGAGTTTCATAAGGTTAGTGTGTAAACAACATTTTTTTAGAGCCTGAAAAGTTGTTTTTTTTCAAAGCCGGGCTTGTCTGAGTTTCATAAGGTTAACAATGTTTCAGGTCCCCAAGTCTACCCACATATTGATTTTGTGTGGATTGGACGCAGTCCAAGCATGTGCGAAAAAACAACTTTTCGGAGCTTGAAACATCGTTTTTCTGCAAAGCCCGGTTTCATCCCATACTGTAAGACCATATAAGGGGTCACGCCTTAAACACATTGAAACGCGAAAAGGGGAATTTTAAACCTCACGTATAAGCAGTAATTTAAGAATTTGGCAATCCTATTCCAGGGTCCCTCAAATTCTCAACGTACTATGTGTTTGGTCTAGCTGAAAATATATAGCCCACCTTGGAACCGATCCCCTCAAATTCTTATACAGTGAATTCTTGTACAATACTCCAGCTGTATGGCAATATAACAGCATTGAATTGAGGTTTTCACCATCAAAATACGGTAATAAAATGTAAGAAATATATATATATTTTTTATAACTGATAAAAAATCATGGTTTACACACTGATTATACGAAGGAGCCGATTTCCCTGGGTTTGCTGAAGGTTTTTTACCCAACGGGAAATCCACTACTTGGGTAATCTATATGGACGGATTTGTATTTTGGCTATCTTAAGCAAATCCAAGATTATTCATGTCCGTGGATTACTCGACCATGGACTGTTAGAAACTATAGATGGTATTATTAGACCATGGTCTAAGCATTTTTGGATTATCAGAAACCACGGGTTATTTCGATCACTAAGTAGGGAAACAGTAATGAACTGTTAGACCATGGATGATTTCCCAACTAGACCCACAAGTTAAAATGAATCGGTATGTATATAAGTATTTGGTTGGTGGTTCAAACATGGCCTTTATTTTATTTCATATATGCATATGGGATGTCATCCTTCCCATTGACGAACTCATATTTTTCAAGATGGTTAAAACCACCAACCAGATAGATGATTGTCCGATCAGGAAGCATGTTTTGCTGATCTCAGGAGCAGAATTGATTCTTTGAACACAAATCTGGTGACTATGAATGAAAACCAGAAGAAGCTGGGAGCCACAGCATTACAGGCTACAGATACCACAGCCAACATGCTCATGCTTCAGAGCCAGAAGATTGGAGAACACACTGACACTATGGGTGGCATTATGATGGAGATGAGCCACAATGTGAAGTCAGTTGCTGGGTCATCCCTGGTAGGCCCTACTCCTCAACAGGTTGCTACACAGCGGTTGGATGCCCTGCAGCATGGGGGTTAGGGCAGCAGCGGCCATCGCCTACAGTGACGTCAAGCGCCAGGACTGGGAACAGCCGCTTGCACAGCGCAAGGCATTCACTTCGCGCCTCTGGTTGTTGAAACTACTGGGGCGTGGGCCCCAGAGGCGGCCAAGATCGTATATATTCCTGAGGTGCAGATATAGAGGAACATATTTTGGTAATGTATCCATGCGTGCATAGTTTAAAGTTATTCTGAAATCTGTGCCAAATCCAGAATTCTCTCTCGTGCCCCAATGCTAACGAATGTGATCATTTCCCGCAGCAAATCATCTCAGTTATACCCCACATATATCTCCACTTGGAGGATCATAACTGAGAAGGGACTTTATCACTCCAAGTGGATATTTATGAAGTGGGGACTCTATTAGCTACCCTGTTTATGAAAGTCCCCTGTTTATAATGGGATCATATGTTTAGCTAAGAGGGATGATCCGCATGATGGGGCGTCCCAGATGGTTGGTGAAAAAACATAGTTATATAGGAAAACAATGGTTAACTATAGTTTGATTAATTGTTATAACCATAATTTATAGTTGGTTTAATGGTTAAAATCATAGTTTATAGTTGGTTTAATGGTTAAAACCATAGATTATAGTTGGTTAATATAATGGTTGTAACCATAGATGGTTTAATGGTTATAACCATAGATTATAGTTAGTCCCTCAAATGGATGTATCCCACTTACACATGGCTTATAACTCCCCTTGTGACCAGTTACTGAGTGGGATGATCGTATTATTACCTCATTCATATGCCACTATCATCCCATAAAACCCCACATAAAACCTTAGATTTCCATATTAAAAAACCATCATACAATGTGGTGCCCCAGTTCGTTTGCTAAGTTTGCTTTTCATAACTTCAATAACTATGCTGACTACGGTCGATATGTCGAACTAGTTAATTAATGGGGTTTATAAACGAACCAACATCACTGGGAGGGCACCACCTACAAAACTTATCCCAAGCCCTCCGGCCCTGGCTCCCAGGTACACCTTCCGCCTGAACCGCGACGGCCTCGACGCCCGTGCCCGCGCCAGCGCCAAGCTGGGCACGGCCTTTGGCGCGGTGGCGCACGTGTCGCCCGAGGGCGAGTACCAAGCGGAAGGCGGCTGGGACCAGGCGGCCGGGAAAACCATAGAAAATCCGTATAGGAAAACCATAGGAAAATGGTGAAAACCATAGGAAAACCCATAGGAAAATGATGATTTCAGCAAGATTATCATGGGGACGGCTTTGGGATTTTGTGTCGATTTTGTGGTAATACACAAGTTGATAGTGATGAAATGAATGAATAAGAACTTCACCAAGAGAATGGGGATGTTAACTGGAATTACTCTCTGAAAGTTTGAGAGTTTGCTATGGAGAATTGCCACCTGTAGATGACTTATGAATTAAATCTAGCGATTTTCCGTTGCAAACTCTTAAATTATCAGAGGGTATCGAAGCAAAATTACAGCTTTCCCTGACCTTCAAGCATAGATCACCGGAGCCGTTGCAGGAATCCCTCAAATATCTCAAATCCCATGGTTTATTAATTTATTACCAGTGTTCCATGAAACTAGCCGATTCGAAATGGGATGTCCGCTGTTTTCAGACAAGCCCATACAGTATGAATTGTCGTATGTATTGTGTCTGATTTGTGTTTATAATTCATGGTGTTTCTTGGACTTGTTTGTAAATTGTTTGATTTCTTCTTCATCCTCATTGGTTGTTATTGATTTCGTGTTAGATGTGTTTAAAGGATGTTTATCAATGCCTATGGATGCTTGTGTGGATCTTTATCAGTTGTTGTTGTTGTTGTTGCTGTTGTTGTTGTTGTTGTCGTTGTCGTTGTCGTTGTTGTTGTTGCTGTTGTTGTTGTTGTTGCTGTTGTTGTTGTTGTTGTTGTTGTTGTTGTGTTGTTGTTGTTGTTGTTGTTGTTGTTGTTGTTGTTTTTGTTTTTGTTGTTGTGTTTTTCTATGTTTATCGGGATTATAACATTGTTTGCATTAGATATGGAAAACGGATCCCCTACTACTTGAATATTGGCTGCAACAAGAAAACGCGTGTGGTCTTCGATTTTGCATAGAATATGACCCAGCTAATCATATAAATATGGGTGATGGTTTGGAACATTTGTTATTTTTCATATATTGGGAATAGTAACCCCAACTGACGAAGTCATATTTTTTCAGAGGGGTAGGTCAACCACCAACCAGAAATTCTATAGTCACACTTGGTGTATCCATGTTTGGATGGTCGAATGTATTGGGTATGTTTCCCAATGTTGGAAAACAAATGCGCAATGCCATGAAGCTAGTTATATCATGTTATATCCGCATATATCCCTGTTTATTTGGTGGTGATTAACATTCCTTAAGTACCCAACTCTGCATTCATAACCTATAACATTCTATTACAAGATTATCCAGATCATTCTTTCAATGGATTTCAAGGGAAATCTACAGGACGCCATGGTTTTTTTTCCCAACCACTATAATTATAGGCTTTCCGGTTTCGATGTTCCCACGAAACCAATGAAATGCTAAAGCTCAAGTTGCCACTGTCCCAACAGTTATGGCCCAACAAACAGTTATAAATAGGATGAAATAACTCCTATAACTATAATTGGTTATATATATCATGAAATAATCCCAGTTAGAACTGTTAGTTGGGCTACAACTGAAGCACCAAGACGACGGCTTCGAACGTTCCGAGGCTTCGCAGAGTGGAACAATCGGAAAGAGGTGCTCGATGGCGTCGTGCTTGGGGCCGACGCCAAGGCGTGGAACCGTGGAATCCGGGTCTGGATGGTTGATGGAAACTCCTATAAAATATGTCAAAAATGGATGATTTGGGGGTACCGCCCTTTGAGGAAACCTCCATATATAATATGATATGATATGATATAATATATACAGGATAATCCCACAAATTGGGGACTTGCTAACACGCGCGTTCTGAAAACCACTTGCTAAGTGGGATGATCCTCCAAGTAAGGTGGATCAAAATAGGGTAGGCCTTTGAATGGGTAATCGGTGAAGAATACACAGTCTGGAGTTTGACCATCAGAAATGGGGGTTAAATCGACTGGTGCATACTTAGTTTGTTTTTATCATTGACGGGGCGATAGACCAAACAGCTATTATGTGCACCTTTGCAGAGTAGCCACGATGGACCCTGAGAATGTCAATCCCGAATTGATAGTCTTCCAGTTTATGAACTATATCCGCCAAAAATCCCATGTTTAAAATTGTATATGATATAAATCAACCTACTTATCTCAAGAGGCTCACCTTGCAGTTGTTCAAAGTTCAATTCCTAGGGCCACATGACAGCATTTGGATCAGAGGCGCCATGTAGAATGAGCACCTTGGTCCTGGTTTTTTTGATCATGACTGCCATGGCAACAGCATACCCCACCGTGAAAAAGTTGAAGACCTTTAGACAACAGCCGCGGATGCTGCGGGGACAACAGGTGGATACTGCATCCTACCAGGTTGAATTTGAGCCTCGTGGCTCATGCAAGCTGCTTCGTGCATGCGATCCCCCATGCGAAGTTGCGTTTCCAAAAGGCCCCTTGGGTGTCTCAATGGCAGTTGAGGCGATAAAAGCTTCTTGGATTCAACATATTTCAACGATATGTCACAGTTCAATCATGTTCAAACCCTTCTGAATGTCTTCTTTGGGATGATATCACCAGAACTTTTTCGGAGGGATTAACTCCTTCATCCCTTTGGGATGATTCCTTTTTTAATGCGGGTTGAATCCGCCATCAACGAGGCGGTTTGCCAGAAGGATTTGCTGGATGGGAGTCATGCAACCCTATTTGCACGCGCCATGATCGTTCCAAATGCTCCCTTTCGGAAGCTGGTTGCGATGCACAACCTGCGGCTTTTGTTGAAAGATCATTTACCCAGAGAGAAGTTTAAGCATGTCAAAGAAGCTGGGAGCACTCTGTACAAATTGGACGTGGATGGCTCCGATCATGACATTGAGGTGTGTCCAAGGGTGATGGCATACGTCAACCCATGGTTTTTACCCAGCCTAATTGAAAATCTGTGGTTGTTCATGCAGTAAGAACCCATGACGACACTTATGTTTGCCATTTTTTTTCCGCTGCTGTTGGCTATGTCCTTCATTTATCACACCATGGTTGTTAGTATTGTCTTGTTGAAATCCATTAACGTCCTATATTCTTGCTAGAATCCTATGTTTTTGGTGAACGGGTAGACCACCATGTTGTTGCATGAATCCCCAGGCCAGGTGGTGTTTCGAGACGTGGCCGATGATGCGCAGATTGCCAACCTGCTCTTTGCAGCCATGACAGCAGCCCAGTTGGATGTGCAGGAACGTTCAAAGCATAGGGGAAGGAGCAAAGACTATCAAGAGCTGGCTGCAGCGCGTTTCTCGGCTGGAAGTTCTGACATGTTCCGACAAAACCCTGGGTTAATCCCTTCAAGAAGGAGACCATGTTGACTGCATTCAACCACCGCAGACTCTTTTTAGTTCATATTATATAATTTATATTTATTAAGCGTTATCAACTCCTTTGAAGGCTTGCCAGGGCCCAAGGTTATGTTGAACTGAACACGACCATATGTCCAGGCACGTTTTTGCGAAGCAAGTGACACCAGTTGAAAACATCAATAATACCATCACAATGTTCAAAAGAAGCATGAGGAGGCTGAGTCTTAAGGACAAGTTTGACCATTTGTTACAGCTACACCATTCCAGACTTAGATCCTCATTGCGCCCACAAGAACTGATTGTTTGCTCGGCATCTTGACCCTTTTAACGGAAAAGTTAGGGTCAGGGTGGTTGCTGTTATCTTAGAACCAAGTTGGAGGAGATTCAGCTGTCCTTTACTCAAGCTGCCGGATAGATAGATCATCCCGTTCCAGGTCAACGGTTGGTTAAGGGGGTCTTTCATTGGTTGGTCAGTTTCATTCGTCGCCATTTGAAATTTACCACAATTTTAGCCCTTAACAGCTACAAATATTATAAATGAGATTATTTCATGGTATATATAACCTTAGTTGTAGGACTTATAACTCATCCCTTTTATATCTGTTAGTTGGGCTATAGCTGCAGATTGTGGCTCAGGTTTGACGAAGTTCGACTACGGGGTGCAGATTTCGGGATTTCCAGAGGGTACCGAATGGGATGTTGTGGCCACGAGGTAGTCCAGTGGACTCCTTCGACAGCTTCACTTGCCCAGTGATTTGTTCTGTTTTTTTGGACCATGGAAAGTCGACCTTGGAAATCCCATCCCTTAAAAAACACCCGAAAAGTTGGTTTACTACAATGTGGTGCCCCAGTTCGTGAACGCTAATCTGGTGCCAATAACTTCAATAACTGTGGTTTATTGTAGATATGTCTATAGTTAATGGGGTTTATAAACCAATTTGTAACTAGGGGGCCCCACATTGTAGAGATTTTGCCACATCTTTGGGACGATTTAGGGTGTTTAACATGTTTAACACGGGGATTGTTTCAGTGGGAATATTGACCAGCTAACAAAATCCCGGCGGGTGGGAAACCTCGCTAGCGGTTGAGCGCGTTTTGAAAAAAAAGTAGGGCACTGTGGCACCGTGCTCATTTTGTGAGTCATATTTCTATACATTTTCCCAGGGAAAATCGAGCAATGTTGAAGTGATCTCATGGTATTTACAGGGTTTGGTGGCCTTGGGATGATGGTTGCTTTTTTTACTTCTGCCATAGCCGCTTGGCGGGATCGGTGAGACTCATGTAATTAGTCCTTTTGAGTTTCCATGGTGCCATCACCACTGCCAAATTCCAATTCCTTGAAGCAACTGAGGATTTACAGTTCCATTTTTGCGTGTGCTCCAAGAACTTGACACTGCACCTTTGGATTTTTCCGCATTCCATCGATACCACCAGTGTGCAAAGTAATGTACCCCATGCTTTCTTCTTCTTGATGCAAAGATTCCCTTACTATGATTGCAAGCTTCATGGCCCAAATTATTTTCACAGGTGGGTTTTGGGCAACATGGGGCACCATCTGTCACCAAGATGCTTTTGCGACCATTTTTGCGTCGTGAGCACACGTTTCAAAGCACCAGTGGCACGAACACGCAGCGCGCTCTCAGGAGGAGGCTTTCCAGATTTGGAAGCTGCTGCCACTCCCAGATCATAAATTTGGAATTTTCCTCCGGAGTTTTCATTTTTGGGGCGTTGGTATAATGATGTATAATGAACGTTATTGCAAGTAACATGACCGGCATGGCCCCACTCCCACCCCACCCCACCCAAACCCCAATCTATGACGCAGCCCTAACGTAGCATCACTTGAGATTGCAAGTAACATGAACGTTATTGCCCCGCCCCACCCAAACCCCATATTCAAAAAGTGGCACGACTACACGCGCGGTTTTCCACGCGCTAGCTAAAACATGTTTGCTGGGTATTCGTGAGACGATGCTAATGACATCCAAAGAGTGACTGACTTGCAATATTCCAATCACCCCTTCGTAAGCAGGCAAGGTTTGGCCAGAAATTACGTTTTTAGTCTGAGTCGATCATTTGTACAGTGCAATGATTGCCTTGGAACTTTGAAGTTACCATTTGGGCTTGGGCCAAACTGTGGAATCTGTTTCTGCTGATATCTGGCAGATGTTGGTTTGCTTGATCGATCTGAAGTGTTTTGCGGTCTCGACTGTTGATTTCTCCTACTCCCAGACTGAATATAGGAAGTATATGTCTTGGTGATTGTTTTTCGGCCAAAGATTCAACACATCCAGGATACCAATATGACCCGAAGAAAAACGTGTGGAAACCAATGCTTAGCAGTTTCATCAAACCCATCATGGAAGATTGGTGGAAGTCTAAGACAAAGTTGTTCTTTGGAATCTTGTCTTCGAGACAGTGCGCAACCTTTTTGATCCTTTTTTCTTTTGGTCTTGATTTTCTGCGGTTGCTGAAATCCAAGATGGAACCCTGAAATCTCGGATTTCGCAACTTCATGTCACAACAAAGTTATCTTTATTTGGCTAGGGCGGGTCAGCATACAATTTATATTCTATATTAATATATATATATCATACATGTCTCATGTTATATGTTAATTACTAACCATCGTTGCCCTTCAGGATGATTCTAGGGCCAGGGGATTCACCCACCCTTCTGCTTGCAACAGTGAACCATTCACAGGATTGAAATTGCTGAAGATGTGGAACTCTCATCTTCCTCCACTGCGGTGCAAGTCACAGACTGGACAGATACTGGACGGATTGCATCCTATACACCTTTATTTCGAAAGGTTTTGGGAATTAACATGGAACAGGTATGCTTAGCATTTTATCCCACCATGAATTAAGTGACCAAGAAACCAGCAAGGATGGTTTCTCCCCTGTCCAGCTTCCATTTGGTCCTTTTGTGCATGGCAGCAGCTCCTGATTGGCAATCGGAGATGACTCTTCAAGACACCTGTCATTTGGCGGCCCTGTGGCTTCGCTTATTTCACCAGGCTGGTGGGCTTTTGCTGATCTAACACACTACACCACTCTATATATATATAGAGAGAGAGAGAGTGTATATATATATATAGATATATGTAGATATTTGTAAATATGTTTGTATTGAATATGTGAAATATCTGATATATACAATATCATGTATATATATATGAATACCTGAATATTTAAATATACATTTGTTGATGTATATATATATATATAAATACCTGGATATCTCAATATACATTTGTTGATATATATATATATATATGAATACCTGGATATCTCAATATACATTTGTTGATAAATAAATATGTAAATGAAAATATCTGAATATATCAATATACATTTGTGTATATATATATTGCATATATATATTTATATTACATATTTATATGTTTATTTTACATTTTCTAGTATATATATATATATATATTACATTCAAAAAATAAACACACATATTTTGACATATTTAAATCATTATATATATATATTACATAAATAATATTGATAAATAATACCGATAATATATAATATATGTGTGTGTTTTCAATATTTATTTAATAATATATATATATATCAATAAATAGTTGATGGGGTTTATGTACTGATAGCTGGGGGGCATTACTTGGTACCTTCTCGCAGTTTTGGATGGCAATCTTTGGCAATAGATCAGCTGAATCGCGTCCCACTAAAATTGGCAATATCCACCATACTCTACAATGTGGGTCCCCATAGTTAGCTAAGTTGGTGCCAATAGTAACTTCAATAGCTATGGTTTATGGTAGATATATCGATAGTTAATGGGGCTTACAGTATAAACCAATTTATAACTAGGGGGCACCACAGTGTAGCAGCCTTAACTTGTGGGTGCCTGTGTGGCAGTTTCAGGATTCATATGTTGAGTTCTTCCAAGTTTGATACCTGAATGTCTTCTTGAAGACATAGTTCTGGGTAAATTACCAGGACCTCACTGTGAACTTACTGGAATCATTGTTAGTGAGGAGAATCATCCCCAAATGGCCGCAAGGTTCACGTTAGTTTAATATTATTACTAGACTATGATGTACCCATGTGTATATATATATAGGCATATAACAGGTTGTTATCACATCACTATTATCCCATCTTATTGTTGTCATATCCCATGATTAAGCCCGTTACACCGTTATCCAATTACAAATCACCAATAAATCACCTATAAATCACCCAGGGTAGTTGCCCATTATTACAATACGTCCTTCCCTTCCAGCTTCTAAAGCTGCATTGTTTGATGTTAGGCCCTGCACTTTTTGGATCCCTGGGACCCCGCTGATATCTCGAGTTGTTTCCCAGAAGAAAAACCATAACCACAATTGGGATTTTGCAGGTTTGTTGCTTCCCCAAACCAATTCTGGATTAAAAAACAACAAGCAATGGGATTTAGAATATTTATACAGTTTTGGCCCTTTATCAGCTTTAAGTACCCGTACTGAACTAACCCCATTTATGGAATATATAATCCCATAGAAACAATCACTTAAAACTAATAGCCATGGCCATAACATGCCATAACTGTATGGATTTATGGGATCAGGTGTCAATTTCTTCACCCATTCATTGGCCTTTACAGCAGAGGTGTGTTCCTGCTTCACTTTGTGCAGTCGCATTGGATGAATCCACAAATGGTACCAGAAGATGTACCAACCGCTGGGGAACACGTTAAACGGATCGTGGAAGGCTATTCTCTTGAAACCTCACCGCAGCTCAAAGACTTGGATAAGTTGATGTCCGCTGCCATTGTCAAGTTGCAACTCGGATTTGCTATTGCAAGACCTTTTCCTTTGGCTTCGGGCTTCGGTTCTTTGTTTTGGTGGTTCTAATTAATTCACAACGGTGTTTTCATATGTTATCATGAGCCAAAAATTGGTTATAGGGTTCTAGCCGGCTTTGTTATTGTGTATTTTGGGCCATGACTGTAAAGCATTGCTCCTGCAGGTAGAATTCAGTGCTATAAGGAAAACTCTATAAGGTGGTGCTCCAGTTCGTTAGCCAAGTTGGTTGACAACAACTACAACCACCAAGGTTTATGGTAGATATGATATACATATATATATAATTATATGTATAATTATATGTACATAATTTTACATAGTTATATATGTAAATATATTTATACATATAAGTAGTTAAATTCACATTTGCATATAATATCTATACAATATTGTATATATACATATACATATCTAATATTGTATATGTACTTGTATGTATATATCAATATACACACATGCATATTGAAATAACTTGATATATCTATAATGTTATAGTTCACAGTCGTTATAAAGTTATAACTGGAGGGGCGCCATCTTGTAGGGCTGTTTTGGTGTAGGAATGGTCTTCGTTTTGGTCGTTTGTAGGCAATCTTTGTCAAAGAGCGAATGCGATGAGCTTGCCGTTGTGGAAGAGTTTCTTCGCGAGTGATATTGGATGGGTCACATGCTTGATTAGGTGTATGTAATGTGTATGTAATGTGGTAAACCCAGCAATCAAGCTCCAATTGTGGATAGTTGGTATAATGTATATATATATATGTATTTTTATGACAGTATATATTTACAATATATATATATATAAATATATATATATTAGCATTTATTCTTAAACATAATTATGTATATATATATATATGTATATATATATATGTATTGTAATAAATCTATATATATATATACTTAAATGATGATAACAACTATATATATATATATATATTTATTTACTTTAATATATACATACCCGGCTTTTCGGTCCAATTTGGGATGTGTGACTATCGGTTTTACGACATAATGGCTTTGCAATTGTACTTTGAGGCGATGCAATTCCAGTTATGTAATGCTATGTAAAGCTCTGTGTATAAGCCCTATTTACAGTTAACATCCATTAGCTATAGATATTAGGTATGCCTATCATACATCCTTAGCTTGAACTTAAAAACAAACTTAGCAAATGAACTCGGGGTCCACCTTGTACAATTTCTGCGTGACTACAGTGGAGTCGTTTCTGGGTGGCTCAGTGCCCAGTTGGTAGATTGGGGTTGGCCACCATGTTCCTTTCCAAGGACATTTTGGGATAATAATGCCATTTTTGGGATACTATTATAGTTTTTGGCTATAATATACCATGTAAATGATAGTATAAGCCTTTGAAGCGCCCAAAACTGAGGTACCATCCCATACGAAACTGAACTTTGCTTACTTTGGGCGGCGATTCTCTAACATACAGATTTCCCCTTGATGGTATGGGGCATGACTGTATGGCAATGGGTTTTTGTTGACTACTGTAGTTTCTACTTGGAGGTTCTTCCCACTTAGTAAAGGGTTAATAACCAATTTATAAATGGTATATCCCCACTTAGAGGACTTACAAACCAGGTTCATTGAACATGCAGCACTATGGATGGCCCATCGTTGGATTCTTGGAACCCAGGCTTTTTGGATCTTTTGCAGAGACCTTGGGCTCCGAGTAAGCTGAGAAGTGGAAATCTACGCTATGCAAGATATGGATGTGTGTGAACATGGTGGGTATACAGCAATTTACGGCAATTTTCATGGCGAAGATGATGCTAAACCATTGGAGTTAGGGGGTTCCCAACATTTTCAGACCAACCCCATGTCTCAAGTGGTGCAATGAGTATGGTCTGCGATCATTGCAAGATGGAGAAAAAATGAGCAGCCGATGGACAACAGATCAGGTCTCTGGACGGCTTATTTAACACAGCTAGTCCCCGTCAGAACTCCAAACAATGGAGTTCCACAGATTTCCACACATGGTCTACAAGATTTTATGGTTGTTTACGGTTGTTTATGGTAGATTAAGATCTATAGTGACTATAGATGGTGACATAAGCCACCTTGTAATTGGGCTCGACAATTTAACAGATGTGTATGATAAAATGGAACCCCAGTCCTATGATTTATCATCGTGTTCTTCATCAACATGTCACTTTTGGGATATCCACTTGCAGCTGTTCCCCTTGAAATAGTTTTGTATGATCGGCATCACTTAGCCACGGCGTTGTGAATTTGGAAGCGGAACCAACATGTAGCCAAGATGGCAGCCCCTCTATCCGTCCGCTTTGTGCTTCACACAACTCACCAGCATAAAACTAGTTTACTTGAAATAACAATTATATACATGAATGCATGGTGAGCTTTCCTTCCACTCGAAATCATACGTTTTTTTCCCGATTTGGGCATCAGCTATTGCTGGTGACTGTTGATTTGGATATCACCTATTCTGGTGGACCGACCGTTTGAGTGTTGATCAAAATTGACAGCACATGGATAAATGGTTCGGATAGCAGCACTTCCCTGTGTTTGCTGGTAAAACCTGATGTATATACAACATCCAAGTTGTGTAGGCCCAAAATATCTCACAACTGTTAGTTCGAAAGCATTGGTTCCTGCTGTTTTAGCCCCGTGTTCCAAGATCACTGGGTTCCGTTTTGACCACGTATGCTTCAAGTTCCATGTCTGTCTCAAACCAGAGGCTTTGTCAAGTTTGTCATTTTGCCAAATGTTCAACCTAACTATGGTCTCATTGTTTCTTCTATGGTTCCAGTGTCAAACCCATTCAAGACCATTTTCTTAGCTTCTATGGTTCTAATTTCATACTTCATAATCTTTCATACTATATATACTTATAGCCATATGGTTTTCAAACAAATCCATGTTCTCCCAGCATGTTCTCACCATTTCCACCACCATTTGGGTCTGAAAATAGGCGATATCCATGGCCCTCTTTAAAATGGGAAAATGATGATGATCCTCCGTTGCTATGACAAATGATCAGTTTCCCCAATAACAATCATTAGCAGTGAACATGGTGATACTCTCTGGCTATTATCAGAAATGATGGTACTTCATTGCTAAAATAGGAGGCTGTATGGAGGTTAGCAAACATTGGCCAACATGTCCTGACCCATTGTCACCCATTGTCCATGTAATGATCACAGTTATAGCCAGTTATAGCCCAAGAAAACAGTTCTAACTGGGATTATTTCATGATAAACCAGCTAGTTTTTGGAGTTATAACTCATTTCATAACTGTTTGTTGGGCGAGTTAAGGTTATATATATATACTGTATATCATGAAATAATTCTTCCCAGTTCTAGCTAAAGTTTAAGACACATATATAATCTTAGTTTTGCTTAAGAGTAAGAGTATTTATTTATATATATATATACATATATATATATATATCATGATATTATCTCTCAATTATAACGTTAATAATCCCAGTTTTATAAAACTCAGTAAGGTCATACGAGAGCCTCTAAAGAGACCGAAAAAAGTGCTAGAGAGACACCCTAAGTTATATATATATATACATATGTTAAGGGCTAAAACTGTAGAGTATCCCCCAACACAAATCCCACACTTTTCAGCACTGCAGATCATGAAAATCGCCCCATAACTCCCCTATATAACATAGAACCTTAACTCACCCAACGAACAGTTCATGGGATGAGTTATAACTCGGAAAACTGATTTGTAGGTTTATCATGAAATAACCCCAGTGGTATTTTCTAGATAGGTTCTAGATTTACACCATGAAATACTCTCATAAGTCTCTAACCACAGTGATCAGTCCACCTAAATAATCTGTTATTTACCACTGTAAGTATCTAACATTGCACATTCAAAGCTGATCCACTGCATATGGAGATTAAATGATTAGCATGTTTTCATACCCATGTTCCTGTTTTTTACTGACCCATTTTCCCCCAGATCTATCTATCTATCTAATCTAATCTAATCTAACCTAATCTAATCTAAATCTAATCGAATCTAAACTAATCTAAATCTAATCTAATCTAATCTAACCTAATCTAATCTAATCTAATCTAATCTATTCTAATCTAATCTATTCTAATCTAATCTAATCTAATCTAATCTATTCTAATCTAATCTAATCTAATCTAATCTAATCTTTCTATCTATCTATCTATCTATCTAGTTATCTATCTATCTATCTATCTTTCTATCTATCTATCTATCTATCTGTCTGTCTATCTATCTAGCTTTAGGAATCATCATGATTATAGGACCACTTGTAAGATATATAAATGATATATTTCATACCATTTCTATCTGTCCAGGGCCATTTCTTGCAGGCCAGTTTCTTGGTTGAGGCATTGTTTTCCCATGGTTTTTCCTATGGTTTCCTATGGTTACAACCAACTAGTTATTTCTTCATATAATTAGGAGTTATAACTCATCCCATCCATCATTCTTAGGCCAGGACCATAGCTGTATCATGGTTATAATCCTTTAAAATGGTGGATCAACCTTATAATTTAACGGGTCAAATTGAACATCAACCTATGGTTTTCCTATGGTTTTCCAATGGTTTTCCTCATGGTTTTCCTATGGTTTTCCTCATGGTTTTCCTCATGATTTTTCTTTCCAATCAACATCTGAGCGCCAGGCGGTGGCCAAGAAGGGCCAGGTGGAGCTGCAGCCCTTGGGCGTCACCGCGGTGGCTGCCTTGGACAAGTTGGCGCCCCAGCTGCTGGCGGACGGCTCGACGCCTGGTGCAACGGACGGCGAAAACCACGGGTGCGCTGCGGTGCTGGGGGCGAAAACCATGGGAAGAGCCATGGGAAAGTGGCGAAAACCTTGATTTGGAGCTGATCTTAGAGCTGAAAATGGTGGGTCCAAGCAAGAACAATGGAGTTTGAATGGGATTTTTTGAGCTGGTGATAGCGAAGTTGGTGCCAATCCCATATGCTCCATGTATGGTATATTATATTTACCTACATTTGGGTGATTTCTAGGGCAAATGTTGGTAAAAATTCAATACATGGAGCATATGGGAATAACTCTGGTGAATTAACATAACTATGGAACATCACCCTTTTCTAAATAGGTAAATCATCTAGAAATGAACCATTTTCCAATAGCCATGTCATAGCTTAGTGCAGTGTAAACATTTTTGGCCAAACACATAGAGCATACTAAGTCGGACTCTTTTTTGAGTACACCAATATGTTTACACATCACGAGATTCCAACAGATTCCCCTTGGGTTGGATCGTCCCGGGGAGAAAAATGAGCGCTGATGCACTCTACTGCAGACATTGTTGAATTTGTTTTTCCACTGGCGCATGGCAGCTCCACCAGGACGACTAATGTCTGGACTGAGTTGCCTAGGGATACGCACACTGACACCGTGCAATTAGATGTTGCAACTCTCCCAAGTGATGTCCTAGCAGCCATTGTACCCGGCAGGGGCTGTGATGGCCGGCAGGGGCAAGTCGTCCTGGGGTAGTAGTACAATGGTAGTTAGTGATTGTGGTACCAATAATGATGCATCTTCCGCGAGCTATTGAAGAATAATAATGACAACAGCAATCACCATAGCAGAGCAATCAGTGGTTTGTTACTTAATCATATCAACTGAAGAATTCCAGGAAATATAAACAACTATATGAGCCACCAATAGCCACCACAAAAACTCCGGCAATAAGAAGCATGCAAGGGACAGACATTGGTTTTCAGAAATTGTACAAACATGCTCAAACATGAAGTAAGCGATAGGACGTTCCCAAATAGCGATACGCCCTGTGAAGGTTCTGTCATATCTGTGCACATACATCATAATTTTCCTTTAAGAGATACCTCCCCCATTTTTTCAATACATCAGTTTCGCACACGCATGTGGTAGAGATGGGACCTTCCCAAATTTGTTGCTTTCCTTTTTGTGAACCTTGAGTTTCCGAGATTGCTCATATAATCATTAATCCAAACTTCATTGTTGCTACAAACAAAGCCTTGCAGGCAAAATCCAATCCTAATATAGGACGGCAAATCTACCCTCCGGTAATCAAACATGGCAATTGAACATGGCCTATAAATTTAGGTCTTACTGGGAAATTCAGTTGCCAATTGTGTGTGTGTTCAATTGTTTGATTACCGGATTGGACCTTGTGGGAATTTATTATACTAAATCCTGGATGGTTGGGGACAAATGAACCCTGGATGCTGGAACGTTGCTGCGGATATCAGCCGCATTGGTTAAGGTTGGAGGTAAAGGCATAGGATATTATATAACAAATTTTGGTTGATTATAGCAATGGTGACCTGGTGAACATGTACTAATCCATGATATGATGTAACGTTGTTGTTAACAATAAATCTCGATGACTATCACGATGTAGGGAATTAGGGCAGGTTACCCTTAGTGAAATTGTGCTACCAATCATGGTATCTCCCAAAGCCCCTTTTTGATACAGGACTGACATCATGCTTGGGAATTCAGTGATGCTTTCCAATGCCACAATTTTCAAGTTCATCTATGCACGAAAAACATATCAAGAAACATGAAGAAAGGCACGCTTTGACCAGCAAAGGTAGCTGAACGTGGTTTCCGCCACACCTCAGGCGGCCGAGAGTCGTGCCATGTTGTGCCTCTTGTTGTGTTTGTTGGTTGAACTACCATAAATCCAATGAATCTAGATGATTTAGTTGGTTCAACCAACTCTGATATATAATAAATCACCCATAAACATGTTTTTTTTATACCAACCTATTTGGCTCGGTTAAATAACTATCGACTGAGAACATCATTTATAGATCGGTGTATAACCTCACCCCATCAACTATAGACATCCAGATATTTTCCATCAACCATATGGCTTAGCTAGTTGTATATATATATACATAGAAATATGTTCCATCAACGCTATGGTTCATTTTTAGTTGATACACCACTTATAGCGATTCCATCATCGCACCTAGCTGCCACACTTGAGGACCATCGGCCTGCGTGGCCGCATGAAGCTGGGAGATCAGCGAGATCGGCCCTCGCTGGCGGCGCTCTTCGGATTGAAAGCCACCAAGGTGCGCGGTCCGCGAGGAGATCGTGCTGAAAAAATGTGGGATTTAAGTGGGCGATACCAGTTATAGCCAAAAACAACAGTTATAACTGGGATTATTTCATTACATATACTGTAACTCATATAGCCTGAGTTGTAGCAATTCTATGAGTTATCATCCCATTTATAGCTGTTAAAGGTCATAACTGTAGAGTAAACAAACAACAGGATGTGGAGAGATTTTCCCTCGGGAAAGCCGTTTGGAAAAGAATCGAATCATTCATCTATGTGTTAGTTTATAGGAGGGTATAACGGTATAACTTAAGTCTGCAAACGTTTTTTTTTGGTTGGCTTCGCGCGCGGAAAATGGTGATTTCTATGGAATTCTTCATGGGACTCAAAGGGACCAGTTGGGCATTAACTGAAAGTTATCCTGTACAGATCCCATTCAAATTCATTAAATCCCATTAGAAACACCACTTTTTCTCACCGTGAAATCTCATGAACCCACCATTTTTCACGGGAAAAAAACAACCTCCCAAGGAGGTTTCCCACATTCCCGTCCTGGAACTTCTCCGAAACGTCGATTCTGCCAGTTGCCTCAAGTCTCCGCCGCGGGCAGCGTGCACTTCCAGGAGGATGGCGTTACGGGCGTTCTGAGGTGGGAACATGGGGACCATTTCAGCCGCAATGGTGAGATCCTTGGGATTGTCTTGGGAAAAGTGGTGACGTATTGGGATGTCCCTAGGAAATACGGTGAGATCTTTTGGTTGTCTTGGGCAACATGGTGACGCATTGGGATTTTCCTGGGAGAAATGGTGAGATGTTTAAAGTTTAGGACATACAGTAGGATATAGCCAAGAATCCGCTTCCAAACTCTCGATGAATTATTATATTTTAGTTTTTTTTACTTATGGCTGGACGGGAGAGGGTCTTGAACACTCCTCAAAATATTGTTGCAGAAACATCGGATTATAAGCAAGAAAACATGGGGTTATCTCATGATACACCCACAGAGAACCTCTTATAGATGGTTATCTGAGGAACATTATCCCGTTGTTTGGGTTGTGAAATATTGTTTGTCAGTAACACTTGAGGGAATATACTAGATATTGGGGGACCTTATGATGATGGGATAAATGGGATATCTTAAATTAGAATGGGATACACTGGGATAATCATAATATCCCATGATGAATTCAGGATTTAGTTTCTGTTTGTTTTATATACCCAATTGATGAAAGGTGATTTAATCACCGACACGATTTGTGATTTGTTCATGTGTGTTCACCTTGATTGAACACATGTGTATATATATATATTGAAGGTTTATGTTTAATGATGGTGAATGAGATATATGTTTTAGTAGAAATATATTGGCTTTACTAGACAGATAAGGGGTTTTGCAGAATTGTATAGTTTGTGTTTAGCGGGTTGTTGAAGTTGAACCAACATTTCAACCAATGCCAGAATCCAAAGCATGAATGATATCAATTTGCAGAACTATTTTCTACAATGTGGGGTTCCCAAACGATAGCTAAGTTGGTGCAACTAATTCTAATAACTGTGGTTTATGACACTTGTAACTTATACTTACAAGTACTTATAAGTATTATTACTGGGGTTTTGAAACCAACAAACATCACTGGAAAACCCCACCTTGCACATGTATTTGGACGTCACCATATAGATTTCACCAGACCGTCTTGTATCCAGGGTGGTGGCTGAAAAACTGAAGGGCGTGGACGCACGCTACGAGTTGAGCAAGACTTCGCAAGGAGTGAGACAAGCTGCAGACATCAGGAGCCGGTGATGGGAGCCAGAAATTGAGGTCTATAGTCTGAATGATGATCTCTGAAGATTGCCATTTTGTTTGGAAACTGGATGATGACTGGATGTCTTGTTTTGATTGCTTCACCTCCAATCAAACATGGCTTGCTGGAAAATCCAACATATTAATTCTATGATTTTCCCAGCGAACGAAAGCTCCATGGCTAGTTTGGGATTTCACAGGTTGCCATGTTTCATGACACTTCTAGGGACAGCATTTATATCCCACTATGACTATATTATTTGGTTGGTGGTTTGGAACATTTCTTATTTATCCACATTTTGGGAATGTCATCATCCCAACTGACGAACTCATATTTTTCAGAGGGCTAGGTCAACCACCAACCAGAATAGCTTATAGCTGGGGGAAATCATCGAAATCATGGGTTTTCCAGCCAGCCTGTTTGATTACCGGAGGGTAATGGTTTTCCATTATACCACCAACCAGTCACCCAGCTGGCTGTGTTGAGGAGTCCAAAGGTGGACTTTGGGGGCGGAAGCCGCTTGAGACAGGGGGCTGAACATGAGGTAACCGACCCAGTTGGTAACTTACACACCCTTTTTTTCTGTGGATGGAAGAAACTGCACCACCAAAAGGAATGTTGAAGTCCTCTAAATCATGAGATGTTTACCATCTATCAACTGGTGCAGGATTTCGCAACCATGCACAGTATGTTCCATGCATGGTATATTTACGTACAAAACTGGGTGATTTTGATGGTAAATGTTGACACATCTTTCATACATGGAGCATCTGGAGAAACTGGTGATTTTTTTAATACACATTTTTGGGGTGTCCGATGTTCAGTCAAACACGCACCGTTGTTGGTGATGGACACAGGATGCGTTTAATCGGTTTGTATGTGTGAAATTGTTGAATTTCTCGTGTTTGATCACAAGTTTCGCTGGTCATATTGGTTTGTGAGTTGTAGCAGTATCCATCAGCATCCTCTATTTTGGGGCAGATTCATTTCAGACTAGGTATAGATCTCCAACAAGAAACGCCCAAGTCACCTCACTGGCCTATCCAGAGATCTCTCCAGAGCCCAAGTGGACCAGCATGGACCCCCTATGGTTATGTCCATTCTATGCAAAAAGGCAGAACCTGGCCGCGTTTAAGGTGATTTGGTATGTGTTTTTCCGGTTTTTTTTCCAACGAAACAAACATCCACCATTTGGGGAATCTATAGGCAATATTTTGAACTCGTTCTAGGATTCCTCAAACAAATCCAAGACAGATGTTGAAAAAGAACGGTGGATTTATAATGGTTTATACAGAAAATTCCTCCATTTTGTAGAGAAAACCATGTGGGCGATCAACGTCAGTGCCACCGATGATACCACATTTTGGGGACCAACGTCCATACTGCAACTACTCCTACTCGTCAAAAAGGGACACCTTTTTGACCATTCTTTTACCAACATTAAAATAATCCAGGATGTTTTATCAACATTTAAATAATCCAAGATGTTATGTTCAACATTATTTTTGTATTTTGGAGCAATTTGAAGGGAAGCAAAAAACTTGTGATCAAGGTATGCCTCAAGATATCAGTTCGGCATGACTTGGAAACTCCATGCACGCAGTTATGGCCCTTAACAGCTATGAATTCGATTATCATTCCTATACCTAAGGTTATATATATAATTATCTCATCTTAATCCCACTTATAACTCTTAAGGGCTTTTTTTCGATGTGGGTCAGATTGGCACAGCCACGTCGACAACGCACGTCGAGGTCAATTGCGTTTGACCGGCAAATTCTACAAGGGTGGCCTGGCTGCAGTGGTACAAGCTGGGAACCCTGCGACAAGAAGTGGATTTGTAGATTATAACCCCTGCTATAGCACCTATGCTCCATACCATGGTGCTGGAAGATTTACCAACATTTGCCCTAGAAATCACCCAGTTTTGTAGGTAAATATACCACACATGGAGCATATGTGCAATCATACATATATACATTTATATATATATATATATACATTTATATATATATATATATACATTTATATATATATGCACCATAAACCATAGTGATCCTGACGAGCCTGTAAATCTGGTTGTCAAGATAAACCAACACCCCATGCGATCATTTTAGAGGCCCGACAATCAGTTTTAGGTGTGAAGTTTAAGGAGCCTCAAGCAGCATGGTATCCTCTTTCAAAACAAGCAGCGTTGGTGTGGGTGTGTCAGAAAATGTGTACCCTGCAGTAATCATGACGGTGGTAAATCCATCAGAAAATGATGACGGAGGCTTTCAGAAGGGAAAATCAGCCAGACATTTTCCATTGCCATGGAGATGATTACCGAAGAATATAGCCCTCAGTTTATGGCCGTTGTTCGACATGTTTTTTACGATGATCCATGATGAAGCATCAAATTTCTGGGGTAGGATTGAAGCAAGGATGGGCACAAGAAATGAAGTGAAATAGATGAGCTAATGTGGTAAACTGGTACACCTAACGCTAACATAAAGCATCTCCAGTCTTGACATCCCCATGGTTTGTAAAAACCGTCCTCAAATCTTGGCTGAAAAAATCTCCGTTTTGGTTAGCCATGCAAAGCCTATTTGTGGCAGCATCCGTGCAATATCCATTTTTTTTGAATTTCACTTTCACTTTCAAGGTGTGACTTGACGGCTCAAAATCGCATGTGCCCAACCAGAATATGGTTCGAAGTTATGAGTTAATACCAAAGCCGTCAAAAATGGATGGTTCCATTCTGGTTCCATAGTAAAACACAAAAGTCCACATACCTCCACAACTTCTGTGGGTCCCCAAAACGGGCCCCCGTTCCCAACGGTCGCAGTTTTCATCGCCGGAGGTGACGATTTCGGTGTTGGAAAACCACGCGTCCAACTGGGGGTGCAGTACGAGGGCAAAGTCAATGTCCTGGGAAAGCTGCTTGGAAGAAAGTTCCGGAAACAGTTCTGTTTGTTTGTTTATACATCCCCTGAATAGATATGAATAGTATAATAGTATAGATGTATCTGATGGAAACACTTGTGTTGGTTCATATATAAATCATTTGAAATATGAATAGATATGAATAGTATAGAGATACCAATACATATATCTACCATAAATCAACCCTAAACATCCCGAAAAAACCAGCAGGTTAACGGCAATTTTCCACCAACTTAGCTAAGTTTCTGGTATTTGTATCTTAAGGTGAATCCTGTGGCCCGAACTCATGTTAGGCAAATCCGATGGTTTATCATCATTTAGCCTCTGGCTATGACTAACATAGCCATGGAAAATCACCATTTTTTAATATGTAAATATAGGTAAGTCATCCATAGATGGACCATTTTCCATGTTAAATAACCAAAGGGTACATTATTAAAATGACTATTTCGGGCTTGATCACATTTTCTGAGTAAAACAAATGCCTGGTGACTGGGCATCCGGCATCCCGTATGGATGAGTTCATAATCCCCAACCACTTCGTATAACAGCCTTTAGTTTAAAACCAACAGATGCTATGAAATGAATTCCCTATCCCCAACCTAAATCCCCCCGAAACAAAACAAAACATCACATACCCTAAAAATATAGTTTGAATTGCTGACGATGACTTTCCCATGGGACACCCACTACTTCGGAAATCTATAGTGTATATTTGTATTTTTGTTTGGGTTCCTTGAGCAAATCCAAATTATCATTATTACTATTATTATTATTTTATCATTATTATTATTTTATTATTATTATTATTGTTATTTTATTATTATTATTGTTATTACAGTATTATTATTATTATGATTATTATTATTATATATTGAGCAAATTATACTTATCGTGACGCAGTTATGGCCTAAAAAACTGCTATAAATGGGATGAAACTTCTGGAACTAGTTGGTTATAATAGCATGAACTAATCCCAGGTATAACTGTTTTTGGACTATAACTGTATATCCCATTATATTCCCATTAGATCGTCGTTGGTGAACCAGTGGGTTTCTAAATGTTTATATCGGCTTTATAACCATTGATTCTTATAACCGTTATAACCATGAGGTGCCCCATAGTTAGCTAAGTTGGCACCAATAATTTCAATAACTATGCTTTATGGTAGATATATCATGATATATCGAACTAGTATTCATGGGGTTTATAAACCAATTTATAACGTTTGGGGGCCCCCACAGTGAACCATGGATTGATTTATACCACCGTGGACCGTTAGGACCTTGGACCTGGGTGGCGACTCAGCGGCCTTCGACAGCGGACGCAGCCTCTTAGACGAGCGCCTCGCCGGAAACGGGAGACGTGGGGACGGAGCGAGCGAAAAACGGGAAGAAACACTTGGATTTTACCATGGTAAAATAGGAGTGAAGTAGAAAAAGATTCAGAACTATGGCATATTCATGGATATTATGGATGATTTAACTTGGCAAAATGGGGTTGTTGCCCTGGGTTGCCCTCCGGAAAATCTCACCTGGCAATGAAAAATCAACTAAATTTGAGTGTATTACGCTGTATTATTTTTTCAGCAGAAATGGTGGATCTCACAGCAAGCCATGTTTGATTGCCGGAGGGTAGCAAAATCAGATTTAAGTAGAACAAATGCCAAATCGAGGATTTGACCTAGCAAAGTTGACTTTAATGTGGAAACATGAAGATCTGATGCGGATTTAACCCACAATATATGAGATATTTGCCAGGAAATGGGATATACACAAGTATTGGAGGTTTTTAACGGCAGGACAAGCTGTATAACCAGCAAATTGGGATTCAACCAATATTGGAAGTGTGAACATCGCGAGAGAATGAGGATACAATGAAGATTCAAACCACAAACTTCAGTGTTTTTTTGGGGGTACCATGTAAGACGATCAGCACACAACCAAGTTGTGGATGAACAAGTTGGGTATAACTGGTACATACTCCTTGATTTACCTCATTAAATCCGACTTCTATGATTGTAGTAATGTTGGTGGGGTAGAAATTGTTTCATTTGGTAGTAAATGTTCTTTTTGTTTTTTAATGATAGTATATATTTGTTTCAAATGGAGTGCTTCGAGGTGCAAACTGCCATGTTTTTTTCAGTGAGCCAGAGCAATAGATTCTAGTATAACCGGGTTATATTTCACAATAGCACAACCCAAAAAAATAGAAAAGTTGGGAACCTGAAAAATGTGTGGGAAACATCAACGAAGTACTACATACTGTATGCTGGAAACACTTTTCTACCTTTTTGAGGGTTGATATAATCCCTATTAAATCCTCATTTGTTTCCAGTTACCGTCTGGTAATCAAACGTGGCTGGATGGAAAACCTTTATAAATGGAGGGTTTTGCTGGGACAATCATCTATAGATGTGGAATTTCCAATTGCTACTATGGGAAAATCCGTGTGAAATCACCATCTGGTTGGTGGTTTGGAACATGTTTATTTTCCATAATATATGGGATAATCCTTCCCATTGACTAATATTTTTCAAGATGGTTAAAACCACCAACCAGCCATGTTTCTCCAGTTCAATTCCACTTTTTGCGATAAGTCACCGCCCTTTTCTCGCTTGTCAGGATGGGCAACCCTTGGAGCAGCCCCGAAGCCCGGAAAGCGCGCAACACCGCCAGCATCTTGCGTAGGCAGAATCGACGCCGTGGCGCCTTAGGGCCTTAGGGGTTGCAGGATTCGGTGATTACTTTATGGGTAGAACGCCATACATAGTCTGTAAAAACTTGGATTTGTTTATTATTGTTTATTTGTTTCCTACGATAAACAAGGGAAAATCCACCTATAGTGACTATAGTGGTAATTTTCTATTTTCCTAATTTTTAGGAAATCCACCATTTGGTGAATCTACTGTTGTTTTTTTTCATGGTTCCTTTTAAGGAAATCCAAGGTAAAATACTTGTGTTTCACCATGAGAAAACCCAAGAGAAAACTGATCTCCTGGTAGACTTGGTCCAGACGGTGATGTTGATGGGCACCGGTATCACCAATTTTGTAATCAGCAATTTTGTAAGTTTCATAAATGGGAATATAGCCTTGAAAACATGTTACAGCTATGGCCATATATATAATTATGTATATATAGTTATATAATTATGTAAATATATATATATATTATTATGTATATATATATTATTATGTATATATATATGTCTATATAGCTATATATATTTATATTTATATAGCTATATATATATATATGTATAGCTATATATATATATATATATATGTATAGCTATATATATATTTATATAGCTATATATATATTTATTTATTTATTTATATAGCTATATATATATATTTATTTTATTTTATTTATTTATTTATTTATATAGCTATATATATATATTTATCTAGCTATATATATAGCTATAATATATATATATATATATATTTATAGCTATAATATATATGTTGAGAAATGAAGTTGTACACCATAGTTGTGTCTGAACATAGGGAGGATCCCCCAATTCATGGCTCTCGCAATAGAGAATCGGAAGCTTTAAACCTTGGAGTTTCAACATCCTGTTTTATCCAACGATACTCCGACAAGAATTAGAGACAACATATGGGTAAATGATGTTGTGCTTATTTGTGCTTCACCTGAACCCCCCCCCAAAAAAAACAAATGACCTGAATGTTTCTGGCTTCTGCCTCAGATTTCAGGGGTTAAGAGTCCAGCAGCCTCTGATTTTACAGCTCGTTCACATATTGTGGTGAGGATCAGTCATTATGAAGTTGCTTTTTGTTAAGCTTGTTTCCTCTTTTTGTTGATGATACATATGATGATTTAACTTTGCATATGTTTGCATACAACATGCATAACATATATATATATACATATATATACATATATATACATATATATATATACATTGCCAAAGAACATATGAATATACATACGACATGTACATACATAGCCTCTACATGTGACATGTACACGTAAATGTACATATACGTCGCAATTGATGGTTAATTTCCCATTTTTCATGATTACAATAGGTAAATCTCCCATTTTATCATTATACACAGCCAAATAAAGTATAAAGCTGGTTGGTGGTTTGCAACATGAATTTTATTTTTCCATATATTGGGAATGTCATAATCCCATCTGACTTTCATATTTTTCAGATGGGTAGGTATACCACCAACCAGAAAACAATTCTTGTTTGCTTGGTGAAGCACCCCATTTTCCCGGGCCAGACGCGTGGAGAGCGATTTTGGCGAAGCCCGTCGATGGCTGGAGAAGTGATGGCGCGTCTGAATCCGCGCAAAAACTCTCTGCTTATGGAGATTATGGAGCTATGTTTGGGAAACTCTGTCCTTGGGAAATATTTTCAAACGAATGAAACTCAAACTATAATATCTATAATAAGATTTGAATCCAATGGGTTTGGGGTTGAACCCGGAGCCAGTTCAAGTGACACAAGTGGCATTACTTTCAAAACCCATCCTACTCCGACGCACGTGGTCATAACAACCCAAATCTCATGGGATTATATATCTCTATAGACTCTATATATATCTGCTGGCGTTTTCTGTTTTGGACTTGCGCAAGCAAGTCCGACAAGTCCCCAGGATCAGTCTCGATTTCGATATGTTCTTTTCATTTCAACTGCCTTTTGAAAGCAGGCACCGGGCGTTTAGAACGCCCTGAGTCTCGACTCCTGAGACTCCAACTTTTAGGGATGCTCCGATGGCACATCGGCTCGTCTCGTAGTTAGTGGATGGTGTGTTTATCCTACAAGTGAGAATGAAATGTTATGCTTGTCCTCCAAGCGAAATTTCAACATCATAAATCATAACATATTGGCATGCGTCTAAATTAGGGCACTGTCGGACATGTTTAAAATTGAGGGAACTCCGGACCACCAACAGGTGTTCTTGTATAAAAAGAGGATCCCAAGCGCGAAGAACAGGGGCACAAAAATACGTAGACAGATCGATCATTTTGGACCACATTTTACCACGTACAGAAAAATGCAGGAAGCGCCTCAAATCTTCACAGTTGATTCTTAGATCCCCAGGCTGTCGTGAGCATCCCCAAGGATTTCTCGGCGAAGCATCGATGGTTGGGAAAAAACATTGCTGCCACTGGTGACTGGTCGGTGCTTCAAACTGGTGCGTTTAAGTTGGTGCCAATAACTATATTGCTTCATGGGGGTTGTAAACCAGCAAACATCACTGGGGGGGCACCACCTTGTATGTTTTTGGTCAGCCCGATTTGGGCTCCCCATTTCCTTTCCCATATTTTTCAGGGGGTAATCGAACAACAGCTAGTGACAGCTGATTCGCTCCCTGGCGGTGTGGTGTCCCTGGCTTCGGGGCCTCTGACATTTTGAGGCGTTTCTCAAACTACACCAAAGGTTGTCTCTAACTAATCTTAACCTTCCAGATACCTGAAATTTTAGCACAGTGTGGTAGGTTATCTGACAAGTAGCTGGTAGAACAGCCACCAAGCCATACCGAAAATGTCTTAGCCAAGCTTGGTCGCATTCGCCAGGTGATTATTGAAGGACACTTTACAGGCGCGGCCACCCTGAGTCACAAGATTGGATGTGCGCCAACTAGGAAGTTCAAGTTGTTTATTATGTAAGAGTTGATAGTTAACCAATGTCTAATTCATCAACCAAACTGGCGATATTTCATCTAGAACTTGGTTATACATGGTTGTACAAAGGTTTGTCATGTTTTTTTTTTAAATACGGGATACCCTGATTTGTATTAAAGGATTTTTTGATGGCTGAACTTCAAGGCATTCGCCATTGGCCGAAGCCATATGAACATGGACCAACTAGAGCTACCCCCCACAGTTATAGCCCTTATCAGTCATAACTGGGATTATAATGATGTATGATATATATATATATAACACATAACATTATATACCCTTTTTAATAGAAGTTGTAAGTCGTAATCCCATTTAAAACTGTTAGTTGGGCCATAACTGCACAAAAGATAGAACAGTAAAATCCATGTGTCCTTTCCAGTAGTCTGATGCGAAATCGACATCCCGAAAAACTGGGGAAACCAACCAGTCACGGAAACCAACCAGTGACTGGTTGGTTCCCCATTCGAAAAATCGCGAAAACTATCCGTTCGTGGTGACCATATGATTAATCGTGAAATATTCGCGCGTATGTATAAGCCATATAGCAAATCAACACCTGTTGAGGTTCAGTTCGTGGTTTCCAGTGCTTCACCCAGGTTTTCAGCATGACAACCATGAAAAGCGGATGTTTCTGATGATGATGTATACTGTATACTTCCAAAAGGACATATTGTTATATACTGTATATATATAAACATATCATTTGTATACAGATATAATTCTGTAATTTTATATACATATCGAAATGTATAAAACGGTACATGTGATATCAGTTCGTGGATGTGTTTTGGGTACACATCTCCCTACGGATCCATCAAGTATCTTGGGTAGGGCGTTATGTACCTTCTCAGACAGTGTTTGGATCCATAGGGTAAATTGAATATGTAGTGATTGTCATTCATAGAATTCGGAAAACTATTGTGATTCAGGAATATTATTTCCTGGGACACATGATTCCATGTGAGGCACCTGTTGGACCTCTATGCTGACATTTGCGGATTTCCACCGTTTCTTTTGGCTTACATAAATTAGATATCATTTAATGGTGCCCCACCCGTTTTGTTTGTTGGTTTCTAAACCCCATGAAGTAGTGCGATATATCCCCTACAAACCATAGTCATTGGAGTGATTGGCACCAACGTAGCTACAGTAAACAATTGAAAGATGACTTTGCCAGCCAAAAAAACTACATTTAGTTCGGGTATTTCCCAGCTAGCCACGATTGATTATCAGAGGGCAATATCATAAGTCAGCTATAAAGCCAATTCAAACAAAAAAATAAGGGTGAAATCACCATTTTCATATGTTCTTCCTAAGTTTTCTCTAGGGGTTCTAGGCCACCTTGTAGCACCTTGATTTTTGGTGACCTTCTGCAGGACAGATGGTGACCAAGGCGCATTTTATGGAGGCAATTTTGCGGGAAAGCGAGGAGATCTCAAATTGAGTTGTTCTTTTCATCATATGCATACTCAATCATCATAGTATTTTTATATTTATATACATATATCATATATATATATATATTATATACCCACAGATGCACGGATATATATATATATATATATACCCATACTCATATATATGGATTTGTCAAAAAAATGTGTGATTGCCCAATTCATAGCCATCATATTTGCCGACAAAACAAACATGATTGAGGACAATAAGAAGGATAATAAGAGCACACATGTTTCAATCATGTGAATTATTTGAGTAGTAGCATGAACATTAATGTTTACTTCTTCGTGAAACATGACTTTGGCTTTGTTGAATGATCTCTGAAGTTGGCAACTGAGAAACATAGCTGGAGTAAACCCAACCGTTGTTCACTCGGGAAGGGCAGATGCAGTGAATATTTACTGGCAACACTACATTTTGTGGGATCCCTGAAATAGGTAAGTTGTTAAAACATAAGCATTTTTTTTACCATGCTTTGAAGTGTATGTATTACTTTATAGATGAGTCCAAAAGCCAATCCAAAAATCATCGGGCCATAGTAAATGGCAAAAGGCAGTAACTTTGGAAGACAGGGATGATCATGAGAAGACCTGGTAAGGCATTCTTTTCTGTCCATGCTTGCTAACATAAATATGTGATGTTACCCTCTGGTAGTTTTACACAACTATTGGAAATGGATCCATTTACAGATGATTTACCTATTTATCATGGTCATTTTCCATAGCTACAATGTGGGTTCCCGCAGTTATAAGTTGGATTTCAAAGCCCACGAACTGTATAGTTGGACCACGGCCTTTAGAAGGCCGTGGTGTTTTGTACACATCGGGGGGTGGGGTAGGGTGGGGTGGGGTGGGGTGGGGCATGTAATAACGTTCAATGTGAACTTGCGGAGGAATCACATGCTTGTCTGTGGCTGCCGGAGGGGTGCATGTATGCACGGGTGGGGTGGGGTGGTGTGGGGTGGGGCATGTAATAACGTTCATGTGAACTTGCGGGCGAAGGACATGCTTCTCTGTGGTTACTGTAAGTTCTCTGGAACTTTCCACTCATGCGTCATGCCACGCTATGTAAGTTCTCTGGAACTTTCCACTCATACGTCATGCTACGTTACCGTAAGTTCTCTGGAACTTTCCACTCATGCGTCATGCCACGCTACTGTAAGTTCTCTGGAACTTTCCACTCATGCGTCATGCCACGCTATTGTAAGTTCTCTGGAACTGTCCACTCATGCATCACGCCACGCTATGTAAGTTCTCTGGAACTTTCCACTCATACGTCATGCTACGTTACTGTAAGTTCTCTGGAACTTTCCATTCATGCGTCATGCCACGCAAGTGTAAGTTCTCTGGAACTTTCCACTCATACGTCATGCTACGTTGCTGTAAGTTCTCTGGAACTTTCCACTCATGTGTCATGCTACGCTAGTGTAAGTTCTCTGGATCTTCCACGCATACGTCATGCTACGTTACTGTAAGTTCTCTTCAACTTTCCATTCATGCGTCATGCCACGCAAGTGTAAGTTCTCTGGAACCTTCCATGCATACGTCATACGTCATGCTACGTTACCGCAACTTATCTTGATCTTTCCACTCATACGTCATGCTACGTTACTGTAAGTACTCTGGAACTTTCCATGCATACGTCATGCTACGTTACTGTAAGTTCTCTTAAACTTTCCACTCATACGTCATGCTACGTTACTGTAAGTTCTCTGGAACTTTCCACTCATGCGTCATGCCACGCTATTGTAAGTTCTCTTGGAAGAACTCGAAGCGTTGCTGTGACCAACACAGGAATCAAAACATGTCAGGTTGAATATTTTGAGAATTCTCACAAACCCCAAAAATGGTAGTTTCGTCTAGGCGAAATGCTTGTTTTTGAAAATATGCACCAGAATACGGGGTCAACGGCCTTAAAAACCACATCAAAACATGTCAGGTCGAATTAGTTTGGGAATTCTCAAAACCCTCAAAAATGGTATATAGTTCCGTCTAGGCGAAATGCCTGTTTTTGAAAATATGCACCAGAGTAAGAGGTTAACGGCCTTAAAAAGCACATCAAGCAAAATCCTATTGGCACGAGCACATCAAAAATCATCCATGACACACCGTTGATCACAAAAAAACAGTGCCTTCTAAAGTTATAAGATGTTATAAGTATCATGAACATTCATGAACCTACTTATC